TATGACGAGAAATTCAACCTTCTTACACAAGAGCATGAGGCCAGAGCCAGATGGGTAGCTTGTGGCAACAAAGAACAGGAAGATTCATGGAATATCGAAGACGTTTATGCTGCAGTAGCCAATAGTACGAGCCTTCGAATCTTTCTGGTTTATATGGCCATTCACGATCTGGAATGTCAACAATTCGACTTCAATACAGCATTTCTTAATGCCCCCATTCCAGAAGGGAAAAGATATTACGTCGAACAACCAACAGGACTAGCTAAGACGTCCCTACCTGTCCCATCTGGACTAAACAAATATTCTGAACTGGTGTGCTTGCTACGTAGAGCTCTATATGGGTTGAGACGGAGTCCTCTATACTGGTTTAACACCATAAATCCCATCCTGATAAACCTGGGCTTCTTGGCACTAGGCACAGATGCCTGTCTCTTCATCAACAAAGGAAGAAGAGCATTGATCATACTCTACGTCGATGATCTCCTTATTGCAGCACCAAGAAATGAGGACGTTGAAAATATCGCCAACCAGCTGAAATCCAGGTTTAAGCTGAAGTCGATGGGCGAGGTCAGAACGTTCCTTGGCTATGATATTGTTCGTAACAGAAAAGAACGCACGGTGTTTGTGTCACAACAGCGATATGTACAAGCAATTATCAAGAAGTTCGAATATGATGGCTTGAAAGGCGCCAACACTCCATGGCCACCAAGTTACAAGATCTATGGGGGTGCCAGTCCAGCTATCGAAATGGCAGAGATTCAGAAACTATACATCAAGAAGACAGGATCACTCAACTACACCTCGATGGGCAGTAGACCAGATATCACATTCACAGTCAATAAACTATGCGAAGGCAACGCCAAACCGACAGACAGGCACGACTACGTGATGCGTCATCTCTTCAGATACCTGGTAGACAACTCAGATCTGGGATTACTACTGGGAGGCCTGTCGTTTCCACGGCAACCAGACCTCAATTTCAGGACATACGCAGATGCCTCATATGCTGATGATATCGAGACAAGGCACAGCACAGCCGGCCATATTGTATTTGTCACGACTGGGCCAGTATTCTGGAAGTCAAAGAAGCAAGCCTTCGTTACACTAAGTACAACAGAAGCAGAATTCACAAACCTTGTGCCAGCAGCTAGATCAGCTGACTGGGTGTCACAAATGCTGGAGGAACTGGGCATGGCACAACCACAGCGTATCCTCTTTACAGACAGTGCCAACGCAAGAGCAACAGCGCTCAGAACCCCTGGAAGGAACCGCTGCATTGATATACGGCTAAAGTGGGTCACAGAACAGATAGAACAGAAAAGGTTTGAGGTTATTCACATTCCCGGTACTGATATGGTAGCCGATGGCCTGACGAAAGGCCTCAAGGCGGATAAGCATGGAAAATTTGTAAAGATGCTGGGCTTAACCAGAAGGGATATCCCCTGGCTCAACACCAAAAAGAAGGAGGATATTTGATTGTTTACATGTACATAGATTTCCTATTTCAGGTCTGTGGGGGTGTGTGAGAAGATTCTGGGCGTTTGCTGCACAGACCGCTAGTCCTTTGCCCTGCAGGCCCCTTTGACAGCGGTTCTGGCACTTCCCAGAATCCCCTCCTTTGCAGACCTTCCTCCTCTTTGTATCGCCAGCTCTATATAGCTGGCGATCCCTTCCAGCCTCAGTAAGCTGGATCCCTCAATCTACATCATTCCCATCATTCGTGATCCACCTCATATTTTGCCATGAGTGTGACAAAGAGTGGGGCGGAAGGACTGAACAGATGATTTACCTCCAAGCACTCCTATACGGAACAATGGCCATCGACTGAACCTGGATCATCAATCAAGAATAAGGAGTGCAGTCCGCAAGTTGCAATTGGCGTTTGACGTCATTGACGAACTCTTGTCTGGATAGGCAGTCTCGCCAGTGCACTATTTTAATGCCTGTCGACGGGAAGCGACGCTAACATTCAGTGGAGCAGTGGAACGGATACGCAGATCGTGAGCTTAACTTTATTCCAACCTCAACGTAGGGACAGAGAATAGTAGGGAACTGATTGCGACGGCATCGACGTCTGGAGACAGCAACATCGATACGGTCACATCACTTGGCAGAAGATAAAGACAGTTGAGGCGGGGTGATCGTCAAAGTAGTCAACGCCTGCAGAAGCAGAAGGTGTCGCATTTCCATTGCCATCCTTTCACTCATTTACCGTTAGCGCGCTTGTACCGGAGACCACGGACAGGGGTGTGAGGCAGAGGAGCTCGCGCACACGGTGTCGAAGATTGTAAGAAACACAAGACTGGCGGGATAGTGGAAGCGGCGCCACCCAGCACCAAACCCAACACTCCGAGCTGCTCAAAGGTAGGTATCCGACCCATCGGTGTCTGGATTAGGTCGGCGGCATCCTTGTCTTCTTGCTTGAAGCCATGCTTCGTGGGCTTTAAACACCTTGGTGGGCGGATCTTTTAAGTGCGTACCTGTACCTATCCAGCGAGATTGGGCAACTTGAGAGGAACGGAAAGAGGGAAGAAAATGCAGGTGTGGTTATGAACCAAGGTCACCATCGTGTGTGGTGGGCCCTGTGTTTGCTTCCTCGAGGTCTTTCGTGGAACTACCACACACTACCTCGTCGTCCTAGTCTTGACAGGAGGTAATCGCCCTCCACACCTGCTTAACCAGGTTCGCCAGGACAAGGCCCAGTAGGGCGCCGTCCGCTCTGGCTCCCGTCCCATGTGTCGTTCATTCAGAAAATGTAACCCACATCACACCGAAATTGATCTGTTTTTACCAACAACAGCTAGTTTAAGCCCTGTGGATTGGCCAACGTGGAAGTCTTGTTTCAGCTTTGTTCTGATGTTTGCCGACATGTGACACGTCCCACCCAAAACTTCAACATTTCACTGAATTTGTCGCTGACATATTGCAATCGATGCATTCCTGCATCGCGCACTTAAATGCTTCGACAAGACCGCTTATCATGCTCTCTCTTCCCTGCGGTAGTACAGAGCATCCATCCCCATAGCACGTAACCAGGGTAGCCCAAGTCCCCTGCCAAGAAGTCGAGCAAGTCGAATCTGGATGCCAAACCCACGGATTCGAGATACATACAGTAGTGTAGGGTATGAGCATTAGCCAATGCCATGTGGGCGTTGCGTATGTAGGTAGAATGGAGGCCGCCGGGCACAGCGCCCTGCAGTGTGCGAGGGGCAACCCGCTTGAGGTACGTACCCAGTCTCTGCCGTGTCTGCGTGTCTGAAACAGGGATCACTCGTCGTCGACTTGGGCGATGTTTTTCTTTCCATCGGTTTCACTTGGAAAATACATGGTGGGTTGTGGACTTGTGGTAACGCCTAGGTTCCGCATCGATCCTTCTGCGGACACATGCATCACTCAAAAATGAAGGAGAGGCTTCGCTCTCCGTCACCTCTTCGGGCACGCACAACGTTTGCGTTGCATTCATCACCAGACATCACCTAAACAAAAGTGCCGATAATCCCCGGTCCTACGTCCATCCGGACAACATCCCGAGAATCTCTTATGAAACATCTTTGTTGCCGTCATGGCATTGCTGTGCCACCGGGATGCACCCCCAAAACCAGCCCACAATAATGTAGCTTCAAGCAGGGCCAGATGATCAAATATGGGGCAATTGTCTAGAGGTTGGAACTACGGAGGCCATTCCCAATTTGGTGCCATCTTTCGAAATGACAACAATCTGACAACCGAACCTGAGGGCATGCTGCTGTCGAAACGGACTTGGAGAGTACAAACACAAAGTCAGTCAATCATTGCTAGTTCTGCCTAGACTAGAGGTAGGTCCAAAGAAGAAAAAGTATGGCTCGGTTATTGTGATGGCAAAATCATGGCTTTGATTGGTAGATAAAAGGATGATGTAGAGGGAAGAATCCCAGGAATCATTTACAGGCCGAGAAACCGATCTTAAATACCCCGCCCAAGCAGGCTGCACCTTCCAGTAGGATAGCTTAGCTCCACGCTTCATGCCATGCACGGTTTTCCTGCATCATCGATGCATGTAGGTAGTGATGGCTCAAAGCGCTGCACGGATGCCCCTGCGTTGGCAGAAATGCTTGCAGGCTTGTTCGCTCCTTCTGTTCTCTGATTACGAGATGGCCAGGCAAGCCACTGCAGGATCACGCACACCAAACGTACAAGCTTACCGCACCAACGGCGTCAGGAACAACAATCAGCGAAACTTTTCGAGCGTCTCCTCCCGTGATGGGTGGCACTGTGCGTCTGCGATTCACCAGAAAGTGTTTGCGTGACAGGCAAGATCAGTTTGGTGTGATCGGCCGATGCAGGAACTCTCGGGAGGCCAACCCAGGGCCTGCGTGCTTCGTGGGCACAACCTGCACAAAATGCAGCAGTCGAGTGTACGTCGTCAAGCAAAGCTGACAACATGCGATCTTGACGCATGAGAACTTTATACAGGCTTTTCTTGGACGGACTCGGCAACCCGGACGTCCTAGACGCGCGCCATTGCATCGTCGCCCTCTCTTCTCTTTTTTCAGAGGTTTTTTTTTCTTCCATTGTTTTTCTGTGTTTCTTTTGGAGCATGTGTGTGCGTGTTGGACTTGAACTGACATGAGATGAGCTGGAAACCGATTTAGGAAATTGATAGTATGGATTAACATGAGGAGGGAAAGAACAGTACTAGGGACTGCCACATTTACAGAAGCTAAAGACACCAGTATCGATACTTTAACAAGTCAGAGCATTGGTAAATACAAAGGGCAACGCACATTATAGACAAAAGGAACGAGCCACAGAAGGTGGTATACAAAATTCAATTGTTTTACTTGTCAATGGGAAACGCCCAACCCAGTCCGTCCTTTATGCTTGCAGTCGTTTTCGAATAACCTCTTTAGCAAACCCTCCAGAAAAAGGTGTACCGGCTTTTATAAGTCGCCAGACAACACCATCGCAAATGAATCAATGAGATCGCCGTAGGTCCGTCCGTGGGACCGCCCATCGCGCGTATAGCGCGTTTCATCTAGCCCATATAACTCCGTCGCTCCAAATACCATCCGAGGTCCTATACGCCGATAGGTAGTCTCGGGCATCACCCTCATGCCATCCAATGTTCCTACGGTAGACTCGTCAGAATTGGGCTTGTTCATGGTGAGATCCCATCGCGCCCGCGCCCGCCGCGGCTTTCTGGCTGTCAAGAATGACGCCGGAGAAAAAGGTTTTCAAGTACCGCAAGAGGTTTTCCCTGCGTTCCTTGCTAGGGACGAAGGGAACGCCCATCTCGGCGGTCAGTTCCTCGAAAAGGATGTCGATGGACCGAGGCAAGACGTTGTTGATGGACTGTTCGTACACCTGTTCGGGGAAATGCCAAGACAACGGTTAGCGGTGCTGCGCTAGCGAGGCTAGCAATCAGATGGAACGCCAGGGGACGGGAACGGGCGGGACGGGAGTGGAGTGCAGGTGGGGCCAAACAAGCGCTGTAAATCAGGGCCTTTGCGTGGGTAAGGTAGGTATTCGTTCTTGGGGTTGTGTTAGGTTCAACTCACGTTGGCCTTGACGGCTTCTTTCCTCAGCGCCGCCAGCTTCTTGGTCACCATGTGATGGGTTCTTTCGACGTTGAACATGTCCGAAAGAAATTCAGCAATCTTGGGGTGGGTCATCTTTTGCCCTTTGAGGGTCAAGAGCCACTGTACCTCGATCGGAGTCCACTCTTGACACCTGCTCCTCCCGGTTTGCTGAGGTACCGGGCCTGGGCGCTGGGTGGCCGTGAGGATGCCGGGAGCCGTGGGCCACATCCCATGCACCATGGGGGCCGCTCCGCCCGCACCTTGCCAGGACATTCCTGCAGCGGCAGCGACTGGGAAATTTCCCGGATACGGTCCCAACTGGGCGGATGCTTGTTGTGGATCAGCCGTCCATGGCGGATGGGCGTTCGTCAAGACATTCGGTGCCGGGGGTGGTGGTCTGTAGACGACTTTGCGGTTGTTGGGAGTAGTTGTTGCCACCACCGTTGAAGAAGTGTTGCGGTTGGTAAGCAGCTTGGCCATGAGACGCCCTGAGCATTGAGGGACCAGATGCCGGAGTTGATGTAGCCGGTGGAGAGGCTTGACGGAAGATGTTGGCTGGCCCTCCAGGCGCGCCAGGTTGATAAGTATGATGGGTTGGCATCATGTTGTATGACGCGGTCGGACACAACGCGATGATCGAACAGTTTGCTGAGCTGTGTCGTCACTTTCCAAACTTAAGAAGAGTTGGAGATAATTGTTGGGTTCAAGATCGGACGAGATGTGGCTGGGCACGACGGCGGTGTCATCCAGCATATATATCAGCTGCACCTTGTCTTTCCGCACACCAATTGAGCTGGGAACGAGGTCAGGTCAATTGAGGTGGGAACAAGGTCGGGTAGAAGATTGGGCGAGATCGTGACTGGCAGCTAAGGTCTTTCTGAACGAGACAATTCGGACGTTGAAGGTCGTCGTGAAATGGGTTGTGGTCTTCTGATGTCCGAGAGAAAGGTCGAGCTCGCCCTCGAGGAGCAAAGGCGCGACTTGCCAAACCAGAGAGCCGGTTCCCTATGTGCGGGCGGGCAAGATCATGGAGAACGTAAAGGTGAACGGGGGAACGAACAGGTCAATGGCGAGTGCGGAAGGGACAGCAGAACAGCAAAACCATGATGGATTGCGTTTCATTTGAGTCCTTGGTCTCCCCTGGTGGATAGATGACGCTATCGTCAAATAAAGGTACGTATCTGGTATGCCTCACGATCCGCCTCTGTAACCACCACTGAGAATCAAGATTTGTTGACCTCAGGCCATAGTATGAGCTTCACCGAGACGGGATTGAGGCAGGCTTGAAGCCGCCCGGGATCACATACATGGGCGAGAAGGCTGCGCACCATTGAATGTGTGGTGGTGATGAATCGCCGAGTTTCGAACAAGAAAATGATTCGACTTCATCGACGGACGGTGGACATGTTCATCCACAATTGAAAAAGCCACGGCAATCCAAAAGATTTCGATGATCCCCGAGTGCATCTCTTAGAGCAGTCCTTTGATTCGCTGGATTGCTGCAAGAAAGCTGTCTTATCCCTCGTGTTCCACCACTCGGGTGTCTACCTAGCGCCCCGGCGTTGAGCCTAGCGTGAAGCCTGTCACGACGCCTGGCACGAAGCTGGCTCGAATCCAGCATGGAGCCTGCATGAAGCCCGTTTCTTGGCAACCGTGGCGGTAAGGAATACCTCCAGATTCTGCCAAAGAAGCCATCATGATCATCGTGATGGGAATCTCTGGGACCGGTAGTGCGCGTCGGTAGCTGAAGCCGTCCGTACGGCGCTCTTGTTTAAGAATGTGCAACCGGAGTAAGCCGTCGTGGATTACATGTGGCCCAACCATTGACATGCTTTCACCTGCTGGTACGGGTACCAAAGTACAAGGCTAAACAAAGCGTCATTTTCAACCAATGAAAGATGTTGGCAATTCTCGGTGAGGTCAGTTTTCCAGTCTGAGAACAAGTGGCGCGTGAAGCCATCGCGATACTCTTATCTCAACCGCTTATAAGCACAGAATCCCGCCGCTTGTTGTGAGGCCAGATCAGACCAGGGACCATTTTCTGCTATCTTCATTGTTCAGCAAGCATTACTTTACGATGGACGACGAGCTCCATTCAACACCACCCAGCTCGTGGAGTTGTGGCCAGTTTAGTTTCCCAACAGAGTCCTCAGAAGAACCGTCGTCTATGCTCTTCAATCACCCCCAGCACGCCTACGTGGGACTTCACCCCGGATTTGACACCACCGCGCCTGGGGTGATCCCGCCTGATCACATAACGAACGATCCCACGAGCGCATTCTCGATGAACCACACCTACAACGATCATACAAAATGTTCCCAGAGACAGCACATGAATTCATGGAATCAATGGACTAGTGCCCAGGGCGAAACTGCCTGGACGACAGCGCGAACAACGGTACCAATCTCAGCGGAACAGCAGCCAGGTCATCTTCTCAACCCATTCGATGTCCAAATGGACCACAGCCAACGATGGCAGATGTTCACTCAAAAACCGACGGAGATCTTCTTCACCAACGAACCGAACCCAGAGCTTAACACGACACTACGGAAGAACAGCAGGACGACGGACCATAACGAAATCCAGGAGGAGACACATTCGGCAAGAGAGGAACGGGATTTTGGAGAAGTAGGTTACTACCCCACATTGCATGGAACTTGAGTGCGTAAGACTGATTTTTCTTTCACTAGATTTTGAACAGGGCGATGAGCAGGGCGTCTGGACGTCTCATTGCACTTCTCCAGGAAGAACTGGAGAGGTTAAGCAGGGAGAACGAACTCGTCGAGGATGTTGAGGAGACGGATGAGGCGCTAGCAACCCTCAGTCTCGACAACAGGACATCGCGATGCCGACTTTGAGTTTTTCGAAAATACACTGCAGCATGGTAGTAACACCAGTCAACGTTGTCAATGGGCTTCGTTCTAGTGTGCTGTCATGTTTCTTACGGAGGAGGTTCATCGGGTTTTATGGTCTTTCGTCTCTGGTTGAATGGCAATATCGGCACACTGTCGTGGCCAGTACGACCTTGGTAGGTATTGAGCAGGTCTTCAGGTGTCCATCTTGATAGTGTTGTTGGGAAGAAGATTGGCAAGATATCCAATTTCGCGGAGCAGTTCTTGTAAACACAGGTGTTCGTGTAGATAAATAGGGTATCAGCACCAGTTACTGTCAACTTGCGACCACCTCTGTCACCAGTGATGATGACCCCGCCGTTCTGTTGACATGACAGCGGGGCCTTGATCGGCATTCGCCAAGACACTAGCGTGTCCAATCAAAAGTCTCAACTGGCCGTCAAGTTGCCTTTTCTGGACTCTCGGGCAGGGGTGGGGGAAAGGGTTTCCCAGAGAAGCCCCCGAGAAACAGCGCCCTGCTGCGAAATCGCATCCAGGCGTCGGCGTTTCAATTCCTGGGCCGAAAACAGGCAAGTACAACAGAAGGTGGACGAGGTGATAAACCAACGGCGGTTGTCGGAATGAACCATGGACACACTCAAAGTCAGCATTGACGAAGATGTCACGAAATTTCCTAATGACCAGATTAACGCTCTATGATTTCTATTCGATGGGTCACACGACCCGTTTGTGCCCTGGCACCAACTTCGAGGCCTGAGTGCTGTCAGACGTGCAGGTCGGGTCCAGTGTAAGGTGCTTTGCACGACGTGCCGTGCTGGAGTCCACTGCAGTGTCCCCTGTACAGTATTTCGGCGACGCACCAGGAAAGTATGAATGTCGCATAATCTGTTGGCCATGAGTCTGTCGCTTTTGTTTTATCGACTTTGTCTATTCAAAGTCACGACTATCTACTTTGAGGGGAGCGAGAGAGAGAGATTGCCGTGTGTATGTGTTCTGTGAATACGTTCTGTACCATCAGGCATACACTTGCAGCCATGATGACCGTTCAAAACAAAGTGAAGGGGGGTTGCTGTAAAAGCAACGTGGTGCAGAAATATGTGAAAAACATCATCGGGAAAGAACACCAACCAAGGAAAACGAAACATGAACCAAAAAAGACAACAAGAACAGGAAGACAAAAGCGGAGCAAAATCAACATCCGGCCGCCGCGTCCGTGGCCGTCTACTTTGCGTCTGAACTCATTTCTTCCAGCAAGACTTTCCGCTTGAACCACAAAGCAATATATCCCTTCAGTGCCTTAACAGTCTCTTTGGTTGGGTTGAAGGGGGAGCGCTGTTCTTCAGAAATGCTCTGAATGACAATCTCAAGGGCCATCGGCATGATATTCCCTATCGCGGTGTCCAGATTATTTGGCTGATGCAACGCATAGAAATGTTAGACCGGGTGCAAAAGCAGTAAATCGAGCGGCCGATGGGGGATGATGTACGGATAGATGAAGAGGAGATAACAGAGAGCGAAATGATGAATAGGGAAAAAGTGGAAAAGACCGGTGCATTGACGAAAACCTGGGTTACGTACCTGTCTCTTTAGTTTTTGGACTATAGGTCCAAGCGCCGGTTCTGCCGCTTCCAGAACTCCGTCTACACGCATACGCATAGCCTGCAATTTGGCTGTAGGTTAGCAAGGGAGATGCGCTGGACGGGGCGTTTGGTACTTACAGCAGACTCGATAAGAGAAGCCTCCGCAGAGGAGGCGGCGCCGGTGGTGTGATTGTAAGACATGGAGACTGGTTGCCCTTTGTTCAAGTCAAAATAAGACGAGGATGTGGCTTGGCCGGATAGGTCTGGAGACGAGGACTTTTGGGTGAAAAGTGAAATGGGATGGTGTGATTATTGTTGCTGGTACCGGCCGGAAATATTAGCCGTTATGAGAGACCTTCAAAGGGTACCGAAGAATCTCGGGAAATCCGACTTTGTAAAAAAACTATTTAACTGGCTGGGGAGGGCAGGACAGGGCATACGCAAAGTCCAGTCAGCCAACATACACCAGCATATGCGCTCGGCCTGATAGTCCTCCGCTCAGAAACATTATGTGGGAAGCGATCCGCTGAATCAAAGAAAGAAGTGATGATATTGTGGATGATTCAGAAAGAAAGCGCTACGGGAAGAGAAAGAAAGAAGGAAAAAATACTGGTGTGGTCTGGAAGTGAAAGTGGGCCAAGTGCCAGCCAACCTTACCAGGTGGCGGCGGCCCAACACATTACCATATTGCTTAACTTACATACATGTCAATCTACAGCTACCGGGCATGTCCTGCCCTAAAAGCAGTAGTTTAAAAAGTCGGATTTCCCGAGATCCTTCGGTATTGTGTTATATATAGGCAGGCTTTGAGGTAAAGGCGGCAGAATGCGATGAAGGAAGCAAGAGATACATACCAAATGTTGGTTGGGGGGCCTGCCGGTTATATGTTAGGGGAAATCGCTGGTACCGGTATATCGATCGGACAAGCTAAGAGTGGGTTCCTGCCGTGGCGTTACGATTTGACGCATGGCGGACGCCAAGCCACATTCAACCATTTTGCAGAGGTATCGATGAATGAGAAAAGCTCGAGATGTTGTTCCCCAAGGTAGCTACCTCTGGGTACGTTATTCGCAAATCCACATTGACTGACTTCAGTTGTTGCGTGGTAGCAAGCTTGGTCAGAAGCCGCTTCGCTCTGGCTGTGATCAGAACAGTGGGAGTACGGGGATTTCTTGGCACCTGAAAGGTATTGCGGTTTCCTCTTGCCGTCAATGGCCATGGCAACTTCCACCACTGAACTTGATACCACCTGGCTTGATGACTTCCGTCCTCACCGAAAACCGTAACTAACCCAAGCTAGAACCAAGCCTCAGACGATGCATGTTCGCATGGAGCGAGAAGGATTTTGGGACAGAACAGGTACGTACGTGCTGGTGAGGGCAGGTTCCTTTTCCCCCTAAGGTACTTGGTAACCGGTGTCGCTCAAGACCAGAAGCCCTATCACTTTCCTTTCCAGGAGCGAACCACTATGTGTACTTTGTTGAGGATTGTTTCCATCTGCACATAACTTGTGCAAATATCGGACCGCCTGTACTTCTCCCTTCAGGCGGTGGCAGGGATTACCAGTGCTGTGTTGTAACAAATTGATGAAAACTCGGACAAAAAGCCACAACGTCCAAAGTTCGTCAACTGGCTTCAAGCGGGCTTGCTTCTGTCCCCCTGCGTTTTTGCTTTGGGCGTCGCAACTTCCTTCCTTCCTTCAACAGCTGCGCCGAGCGCCTCCTCTGTGAAAGTCGCTCAGTGGCTGCGGAATATGCCCCGGCAGCCTGTGAACGGTGATCGGCGCAGGCAGGACAGGGGATTACCAGCCACTGAAACGTCAGGCCCGAAGTCAGTATTCTGCATGGCATCATGCCTGAGATGGAAGCCGGCATCAAGTTTGGCGTCAAGCCCCGGCAATTCGGCGTTTTTTTGGTTAAGTTGAGCCGGTCATGCTCCTTTGATGGTCTTGACGACAAGACACACGAGGCAAAAACAAATTCCGGTGTGTGTCCCGGGTTTGAGCTTCAAATGCAACATTGGTCGCTTGACCACAGGGAATGCTCACCGAATCCCTTGGAAGTCACGCCTTCAATATACCTATGGAGACTGGCAAAGAGGAACGACGGGAAGTTTTGCGGCTTGGAAGCCATTGTGATCCATTACAGTGGGCGGTTGGGTTGGCGTCGGCGATGACACCACGACTACGGGCCGGCTTGCCCCAAGGTATCTGCTGCAACTGTAATTGCCTAACACTGCGAAAATGCGGCGCATGGACATCTTGCCCCCCGAGCAACAGTTTAAAGCCGTACGTGTCCCGGGGATATCTGTTTGAAGGTATCCATCTTCTGTCAGCATTAATCCTTTCTTAAGTTTACCACCGGAAGCACTCAGAACGGTCACTTTGGCAACTCTCTGATTTGCCCTAGAGCTCAATTTTCTTTCTTTTTTTCAATACCATGGATCCTCAGCATCACCAAAGCCATCAGCAGCACCACGACAATGCCGACCCGGCCGATTGTTGTCCCTTTCTATCAGCAAGGCGCCACGATTCCTCTGACGCTTGCTTCCAAGAATACAGTCATGGCCAACACCGACAAGCAACCGGTGTAGTACCGGGGCCTCTGATGGCTGTCTTTCCGGGAGCGCACATGCAGGGCATGTACGCTGTCCCTGTCATGATTCCGGCGCAGCCTCTAACCCAGGCTACGTTGAACTACACCTGGGCCAACCCCTACACTCGCGGCATGGAGCCACAGCCGACTGAAATGCTTCAACCATTGTGGCATTATCCAGGAAACACCATGTACCAACCGCACTTACTCTTGGATCAGCTGCAACCTTCTTGCCCGGTTGACAATGGCGGATCTGGCTCGAAGCTGGTTCACAGCGACGGTCATGTGCAAGTCAAGGTGCCTGGACATCTGATGGCAAAGAACATGAGCCAAAACGCCGAGCGTAACAATCAAGACATCCCATCCGACCTAGAGCCGTTCCCGGCTTGCGGACGCGATTTTGCAAAGGTGAGTGCCGAACAGTTCGCACAACTACCTATGCCTTACCTCTAAAGACTGGGTTACTAACGCCCGGAAATGTGGCTCCTACAGACGCTCAGCAAGGTCATGACCAAAACCTCCGATCGCCTGATGGCATTGCTAGAGGCGGAACTGGACAGACTGGACAAGCTGGACGCTGCGAGCGAAGCCAGTGGTGCTGTCCAGGATGTAAACATCAAGCCTGGCATCAAGTCCGAAGGCAACTCTGGGCAAAACGACGAGCTTGACTCACCTGGCACGGAGAGTGACAAGGCGGATGAAGAGCCGCCCATTTTGAATGAGGTAGGAAGCAGGCCTCAGACGAGCGACGAGCCCAAGAAGTTTCATCGAGTCACCATGACCGACGAGCAGCAAGAGAGGAACACGGTGGCAGGACGCCCGCTGAGTTCGAATGTTCCCAAACTTGATGCCAACCGGGGTAGGGGAATTGGAAGCCAAAATGAGCGGGGAGTCAACATACCTCTAAATTCGTAAGGGCTCGTCGCTCTGAGGCGCATACCGACTCACTGTTAGCAGGGCCTTTGGTCGGCAACAGGCTCTGACTGTTCTTTTCTCGCTCCTTCCATCTCTGTTTCCCCTGTTCCCCGTCAGTTTCTCTGTCCTTTACGAATATGCCTGCTGTCACCTCCTTTCCTTTTCCTTTTATTTGTTTTTTTCTTCCTTTTTTTCTAGTTTCTCTCGAATTGTCCAGTTCGCAACGCATGTCTCCTCTCAAACATCATGTATTCCCCCACTCATCATCCTTAACCCCGTACCCGACGTTTCAGCACTCATCTCTCAACGTTCGTTCAGATAAACAAAGGCAGAAAATTAGTTGACCACTTGTACGCCTTCATTACCTCTGCTCGTCCGTGAACATGATCTGGGCTGAAGTCTCTTGCATGAACGTACCTAGCGCGCCTTTGTGATGAAGCTTTCGGGATAGCTGTGCCGTGGCAAAGTGCCTGGAAGGTGACCGATGCGTGGATGTTGAACGTTCAGTCGGCTATGTGTGTAGCGGCCATTTCTTCGTGTGTCGCCAATACACAATTGGAGGAAGGTAGAATGCTTTGGGACGGCGGGTACTCGGACGAGTTGTAGGGGCAGGAGAGAAGGATCGGGGAATGGGTATCATTTTAGGGTGCAAGTAAGGTATGATTCCGAAAAACAGACGAAAAAGGAAGGGACAGTCAGGGAAGAGGCAATGAGAAAGAAAGAAGTGAGGAAGGAGACATAGAGCAAAAAGACATCAACGAAAGAGAGAAGTAACCAAGAAGAACGAGGAAGGAAGGGGGGTGAGGTCAACGACCAATGTAGAGAGAGAAGATGGGGTAAGGTGGAAAGAACTCGAGAAAATGGCCGGAAGGAAAAGGGACAAGAGAGAAAGACCGAAGAAGAGAGTGGACAAAAATGAGGGAGGAGCCAGTTGATATAAGAGCGAGCGATGTAATGCGATGCACAGGTGGTCTGGTGACCAATCACAATGGTTACCGACCATTACTGGCCGGCTGCATCGTGCATGTCCGTACGGAATCCGTTCCGGTCCTTGGTAGAACCAAACACAGCCGCTGTCACTGAGCCTCATGCCCTGGAGGGTACGGTACGTACCTACCACATCGGGTGTAGCAGGCTGGAGAGGAAGGAACGGGCGGTCAGTGAGTACAGTTGCACCGACCGTCATTTTTGCGGTCTTTCTTCCCTCATCAACTGGATCACGGTTCTTTCGAAATGGGTACACTATCACGCCGATTCAGCATCTACAGGCCCGGGGATCACGTCCTGTCACTATTCACACCGTCCACTCTTTCTAAGCTTCCAGTGGCTAGGTATTCTTACACTATGGCGCATTAACACTGGATCACACAGCACTTCGCGTTTTATAAGGAAGTGGAAGAAAAATTTTCTGTTGAACATTTGAATTGTGATGAGCGACAATACGCACTCCCGTCTCTTTGGCTCTGGTTGGAGAGCGGGCAGGCGGGCGGGCAAACGTCTGTTAACAAAATACCGCTATCCCGCTGTAAGGTGCCATGCACTAGCACTCAAACGCTAACCCATAGCGTCCCCTCACAAGTTGAGGTCTGAGGTGGGGAAACAAGCGGGATCGGTGGGCCAGATGGAACGTCTCCATAAGCTTTTCTCAACGACAGGCGCATCATGCGGGACCCTAGGTAGAAGATTTCAAGGACTTTTTGTTTTTCTACTTCCAGGTCCTGAGCTGACAGGAAGCCTATCCCACGCAAATTGTTTGTCATTCTGTGATGGCTTTGCACGCAATGGATCTATAAGATCTCTTTGGCAAAGAAGTACTGGCACACATATGCCCATCGTTTCAACTAAATAGAATGTTGAACATGAAGGTGGAATTTAGCCACAGCGAAAGAGGCCTTTGATTAGAGAGACGGTGCATCTTGCCCAACTTGCAACACACCATTGAGGCAACAAAAGAGTGTAAAGTTTGTATTGAGGGTGTCGTCAACAACCGGTGTCTCTTGAGGTAGATACACCAGCCTAGGTAGTCAGGACTGTAAATGAGCAGCTAACTCTGAGGGTAATCGTGACAGCAAGGAGCGACGCTTGTATTGAAGTGAGGTCTATAAACCAAAGAAATCCTTCACAGTGGCATGGGAGGCTTCCTCCATAGCAAATACGTACAAGCCAGTGTGTTTTGGGGATAGAAAAGAGTGAAGGAGCTGGAGATATCCAGTTCAAGCAGTCAGGGGTATCCGGGGAAGTCGAGGGGAGTGGCAGGTGGTGGGGAAGGGGACTTGACAAATAATGTGTCGAGACGGTACAAAACAAAATGATGTTTCTCCACATCACGGGAGAAACATCTACAATATTCCAGCAAATATGTTCACCCGAGTTCTCCTATGTTCCTTTTGTGTAAGCTCGTGAGATCCGTACTCCTTGAGTTGTAGTTGATGATACAATCGTCACTTGACAATTGTTTGCTGGGTTCTTCCATTCCAGGAAGCCAGCTAAATGTGTATGGGTCATCGGCGACATTTAGTAGAAAATGAAGCTGACAGGCCAGTGCGAGCATGTCGCTGTCAACGTGCCGGAGTTGAGAGGCTGGCGCTGTGAGTTCGCCAAAGTATGGGCATGTTGGACAGCCTTGGAAATCGTCGGCCACCGAGAAAGGCGATTCTGGGCTTGTCGCGCGCAGGACCTTGGTTCTGCGCAGTGCTTTGTCATATTCCAGACTTAGCACCACGTGAACGGATATTCGACGCGCGCACGAGAGTTGTGCGGTCCCCGTTGAGATTCGGCCGAGTTCATGCCTAAGCCCTCATCTCCCTCTTCATGTCCAGGATCAGCGACTGCACCATTGCCTTGTACCATGCCCTCATCCTGATCTCGATGTCCTCCCGCTTGCGGTTAACATTCTCGGAGAAGCCATGCTCTTCGGCCAACTTGAAGAACTCGCTCGCTACCAGTGGGATTGCGGCGGGCATGAGTCTGTTGATCGACTTGTCCAGTTTCTGTTGTGGAAGAATTGGCTGTTAGCGTCATGACACCGAGTACTTCGAAGCAATGTTGACCCGTTATGGCACTCACGATCGGGTCAGCGGCGGCTTCACGGAGGCTAGCAATCCTCTTCGCAAGAATGTTCTCGTTCAGGTCGTCCAGGAACGGGAATTCGGTCTTCAGCGTCTTGACGATCTCTTTATGGCTTTTCTTTTGCTCCTTCAAAGGCAAGAGTCTATCGTTTACTTCCTTCGTCCAGCGGTCCGACGGTGGTATTGACCCTCCATGTCTCCCGGGCTGTCTCGGCCGGCCTTTGCTGACCATGGCCGGCTCAGCGCTCATGGACTGCCAACCAGAGGGGAAAAGCCCTACTGTGGGTGAAGCAAACGCCGGATTGAACGGGTGCGGGCCTCCAAGTCCCAGGGCGGGGTTCGTCCCAACTGCATGTGCTGTCCACGGTCCATAGTCCGGGTGAACTATCCCCGAAGGACTGCCCTGCTGAACAAAACCCGCTTGGCCGTGAGCTGAATTATGGACATAAGGTTGAGCGAAATCTGAGTTGAATGAGTTGACCGGCATTCCAGAGGACCGGTTGAAAACTGGAAGCGGCGGTGGGCTCGTCGGCAGCTCGTTGTTGCTATTCTGACAAAAGCCCTGGAGCATAGTGCTGGCGGTCTCATAGAAATTGGCAGTGGACTGGTCAGGGTTCTGAAGGTGCATCGGGTTCATGGTACGTTGAGCTCCAGGCTGGTTGAGATCCTGGCTTTCCTGGACGGGCATTGAGTTGACGGCGTGGAAATGGTTTGCACCAGCTGGGACTCGATGACGGGCAGGTCGTACAGGTATGTTGGACGATGTGGACGAGGGCTGCTGGGGATTTCCACCATGATGTGGGTTTTGATTCGGCGGCAGCATGATGCTCGTGTGCTCGAAGATGCTGCTGTATTGTCGGGGCTCCCAAGTGTTATTGATCAGTGAAAGAATAGGTGGATTGCTGACGATGAGTTAGAGCAGGTACCTCGAAAGGGGCATGAGAGGTATTCGTGATTGCGTGACGATGAGTTCAAAACTAATCACTCAGTGTCCGGGAGGGGGAGAGGCAGATAGTTGAGTCGCAAGAATCCTGATAGACTCGATACGTTCAACCAAGCGGTGCCTTATGGCCTTCTTACTTATCCAGGGTGAGGGACGTATCGCACGGAACCACATCCAGAGCAGAATAGAGAAGGGCTGGAGCCGCACGCCGCAACACGCCCGGCCTTGAGCTTCACTGCGGCCATGATACCAATCGTGAACGTCGAATCGCTGACCCATCCTACCCCCAGTTGGCGTTGAGCTTGGAATCAAACCATGCATAGTACTAGCGTCTCATTCCGGCATCCAGGCTTCGAGCCCGGGGTGGCCGGCACCGGGGACGAAAGACGGTTATCCAAATATGACTGGTTAGGATGCAGTTTACCGATTAAGGACAAGGCTGAAGGTGTAGTCGTCAACATTCAGTTTTCGGTGAAGTCTGCGGTGGTTTATAGACGAGGAAGAGAAAGGCCGTGCCCACAGTCGATGTTCAATCAGCTGAGCATGGTTGATGGCCCCGCCGCAACGTGGCATTGCATTATGTCAACAACTCTTAGCGTAGCGGCTGGCGCCAACCATTGGCACTAGGCACTGTCCTGGCTCGTCCCTGACAGAATTGTTGAGACTCAGCCAACATCACCAAAATCTCCAAGAACATCATGAAAGTCAACCATTCTTACTTATTGTTAACGCGAAATGAAACCGCCCTTCGTCTCTTTACATTGCTGCAATGTTTTGGGTGATTCATCCATCTATTCGTGGTGTTTTCTCGAATTTATTGAAGCATGGCCTTCTTCTGTTAGTAGGTAGTTTTACTTGGGCGGTTGCAGGGGGTAAAAACCTTGTGAGTCTCAAGAATTATGTCCTGGGCGAGCCTGGGCCCTGGCTTCCTAGGTGTTCACATGCAGGTATTTATGCACGGCGTGAAGCCAGGCTTAAAGCCAGGCGTGAAGCCAAGCATGAAGCCAGCTTGAAGCCCACTGGCAGCGTAGCTCGACGCCTGGCGTTCGCAAATTCCAGTAAGAGAAGCCCGCCCCGCTACGATTTACCCCGAAGAAGTAGCAACACCACGACCTGAAATGTAAAGGCTGCGATGGCGCACGACACAAGTCCACGAGCGCATGTGCAGGCGCGCCATTTTAGATTCCTTGAGTTTTTTTAAGTCATCGCTCACTCTTGTCAACGGGCTAAAGTGTGAACGGACTGCGGCGCACCGTTACCCGTTTTGCCAGGAACTACAGATGTACACCCAAGATAGACAAGGGCATCTCCAAGGCCACAACTTTTCAACGAGGAGAGCATGACCGACAAGCAGTTGGCGCTGTATCGCTGGAACTGTGTGTAACGTAGTTACAATGACCTTGACGTTGTTTTGGCAGGAAGCTCGAGACTTCCCTGTTAACACAATATCTTAACATGGTTGAAAACTTATTAGACGTCGTCCGTCAACCACCCTGGTGCTGGTTTCCGGTTTCGCACATGATTTGGTCCAGGGACCAGAACCTTGTTAGCATCGCGTGAACGCCCTTGAGAGGGTAGAGGACAATTATCGGGATGGAAGATAATTCAACGAAGACCGCACTATGTTGGTTGTTGCAGATACATACCTGCGTTTTGTCCAACGGAGCCCTGCTGCTCGCTGTATACTGTACACCTCTGCATGGATATAACTTGTTAGCTTGGTACTTGGCAGATCATTCTGGGGGTGGCAAAGCCTTATTTCTAAGGTGGCAACGGAATCTCCGAGGTTACTAATGATGACTAAGAGGTATCTTTTCTAGTAGTTTCTGTAGCGAAATACTTTCCTTTTAAAAGTAGGACTTCTGTGAGCCGGTTGTTGCCTGAGCAGCCAATTCATCCTATCTCTTCTCATTCATCACCATGTCTCGAGGCATTGCTATTATCGACCTTCTAACCCCTCCTTCTACCCCTAAAAAGAATGCATCTCAACTATCTCGAGATGAAAGGCTCCAAGTCCAATCCCTTCGATATGGCGGCAAGAGTTATGCACAAATCTCTCTCGAGACCGGCTTCACACTCCGGCAGGTCCAATTCGCCTGCATCAGCTCCGTTACTCCCCAAAAGAGAAAGGAGAAAAAAGCACTCCTTAGGACACCTCAAAAGAATGAACTCCGAGAATGGATGAGAGCGGATAGAGCTCGCAAATTCATCTCGTGGAGTGACCTTCCCCTTTACCTCCCTCTCCACCTCTCTACCGGCCCCGGAGCTCTCGCGAAGGCACTTCACTCCATTGGTTTCCAAAGAAAGCCAAGAATGAGAAGGATAAAGAGAACCAATGCCAATAAAAGAGAAAGAGTGGAATGGTGTCAAGAAATGATCCGTCTTCGCCCTCGTCCAGAAGATTGGGAAGATGCACTTGTCTCTGATGAGACTTGGGCAACCAATGATCCAATGTGGAAACAATGGGTAACTTTGGATCCGGATGATGATCCAAAAGACTTTGCTTTAGCAAAGAGAAAGCCTCATGGATGGATACTTTGGGGATCTTTCGCCGGATGGAGAAAAGGGCCCTGTTTCATTTGGGAAAAGGAGTTTGGCGGAGTCACGGCTCACAAATACATTTTCTTCATCCTTCCTATGGTCGCTGCCTTTTGCCGCGAACACCCGGGCGTCGTTTTCCAACAAGATAACGCCCCTTCCCATAAGGCAAAGGAGACTCAAAGAGCAATGGAATTAATGGGAATTATTCCATTAAGCCAGAGAAGATTTCCAGCCTACTCTCCGGATTTGGCACCGATCGAGAACGTTTGGCCTTGGATGAAGTCACTCATGGAGTTGAATTACGACATTCAATTTTTGACGCCCAAAAAATTGAGAGAGACTATTCAAGAAGCCTAGGATGCTATTCCGGAGGAATTCCTTCTGAGGTTGGCTCATTCGATGCCAGAAAGAATGAGAAAGGTGATAGAGGCGAATGGAGATTCCATTGATTATTAATACAATAAATTATCATTTTGGCTATATTGAAGTCCTAGTTTTTTGTAGCCCCTTAGTGTCTTGGCTGGCGCCTTGGCTGTACCACGCTAACAAGTTATATCCATGCAGAGGTGTACATGTGCTATAAGAATGAGGTAGTTGGGGTAGGCACCACCTGTAACGAAAAGCTCGACCCCTGCGTACCGTATAATTTCGCGAACGTCGTACAAGACCTTCCCTCCTTGAGCGCCGGGCAGGGAGCTGGCAGATGTATGCCCAGTCAGCCAGCATATACCATTCAGCAAATGGATCTGGCCAATTACCGAAAACTCGGACGACATCCGCTATCACTCTAATTACGTGCACACCTTCGGGTGCACAGCGACTCGTCTAAGTCTGCCAGCTCCCTGCCCGGCGCTCAAAGAGGGAAGGTCTTTTGCGACTTTCGGAAGACTATACGGTACCGAGGGTACCTACCTTCCTGCCAGAGCCGCATGCAAGAGGGGCAGGCGGTGGATACCGTGCAGAAAGACGGAACAGCACTTTGGCCAGCGGGTGGGAACGAAGCAAGACTGACATACAGTAGCCCCAACCCGTCATTCCATGCAGCTCAATGGTGATTAAGACCCCCAAGACTGTAATTCCATGGAAAATGCTCGACCAATAACCTTTTAGGCCGCCACTTTTAAGCATACGTATGATATGGTTCAACAACACTTACAGGATTGGCTGTGAGGGGCTCTGTTCAAAGGGCCTCAGTATATATATTGCCAGGCACCCAGGGCCTCTTGTGTCCTCGTCTCAACGACCGAATCCTACTGGCAGATGATCTGGTAAATACTTTCCCTCATTTTATAACCTCATCCTCTCGATCCTTCATCCTTGAAGCTTTAGACACTCCTGTGGGAACCACAAGAACAATCCTTCTTTCCGCAAACCTTCAAGTCAGTCTTCTCGTACACTTTTCACGAGGTGATCTACCATAACCATGGGACACTTCTTCTACGTAAGTAGTCCAACTTCCAAAACTTTTCGGCCACGAAATTTTCGAAAGTCAGTGCCAGAATCTGGTTCACGCCCAATCTCTAATATTTTCTTTCCATCAGGTCCCAGCTAGCGGAAATGGCCATCGTGACGACCCTCCAACGGACATGATTCCGGGAACCGCACAACTTTATGTTTCTCCTGCATCCTGCGACGTCTCTTCGATTTGGCTGCACCTGAAAATCGATGAGGTCAGGACAGCACAGTGGGAGACGGCATCCAAGATGGGATTCTGTGTGCCTTTGTCTCTAGTATACGGATATCCTGCCGTCACCCATCACCAGGATGCTCCGCTGTACAAGATGCCTCTTACCCACGACCAAGACACAGCGCGGGAAAACAATGCAACATTTCAAAACACCGGCGTTGATGACACTGAGCCCAGGGACACTGGGTCACAGGATGATGCCAAGAAGCCATCCTTTGACGAGGTTAGTATATGACCAGACCTTTCCTGTCAGCAAAGAACCGATACTGATGTTGTTTTCTTCAGATACTCAAGAAGGCCATGGACAACGTCTCTGATCAGCTGATGGCCTTGCTGGAGGCTGAACTGGAGAGGATGGAAGACGAAAGCGACGATGTCGAGCAAGAGCCCACAAACACTCCTCAGAACACATGAATGGGGGCTCACTGTAGCATAGAACTTCCACCCTATTTTCCCGTCGTTCTCGTTTTGGCTTCTGTCCATTCTTCATCGTTCAACCTGCGTCACCCGGTCTTTCCCTACTCACAACTCACCCACGTGTGCCCCTGGTGTCTTCTATGGCGTTTGCGCGGGTATGACGATTTCTCTTTCGGAGGTGTACTTGCATTCTTGGTGTCTTTTTTTTTTTTTTGTGGTGGGCGATTTGTGTAGGCTGGGCCACCAATAATTTGTTGGAAGAAATAGATAGCTGTAGACGTTGAAGTAGTAACAACTTAACCGCTCGCTTGCTGAACCCACCTTGGTGATCAACCACTAAACGACGCCCATCAACTGGCCACCGTTCATTCCCGGAAAAAGCGGGGTGTTATAACTTACAAGAGATAGTACCTAAATCCGGTTAATCCTTTACCGAAATTTCTAACCACACCTCTCCTTCCCTTTGTGTGTGATGTTGCGCACGTAGCTTCAATGTTCGGGGGCGAGCTAATGGCTTAAGGACGAGCTTGTGCGCGCGCCGCGACGGTTTGTAGCTGTAACGAAAGTACGACAACGACAGGTCGGTAGGCTGTCGGGATCGATGTATATTCCGTGGCAACGGAACGAGGACAGTAAAGTAGGGAAAAGCTTGCGTCTCGGATGGCTGATGTGGCTGACTGCCTGATTGGGTCGTCTTAGAAGAAATGGGACGTGGATGAATGAAAGGAAGGACCAGTCCTGTCCTTCGAGGAAAAAGAAACCCGACGTGCAGCTGTCGACGAGGAAGGATGAGGTTCGCATCCTTGTCCCGCCCTAGGGAATGCACAAGGCAGACAGTTTCCCTAGCGCTGCTTGTTAGTGTAAGTGCGGTAATTCGCAGCCCAACGACAGCTTCCTTAACACTTAGGAAAAGAGATGGCATGAAGGGCAGGGGCAAGACTTGCGTCCCGGGTCCAGCCAATGGCGTGTTATATTTACTAACAATTACAGGGGTCTGCCCTACAACGCATGTTATCATGTGCTAGCATCACCACCGGGAGGTGCTGCTGAGGATCAACCTGAACGGCGATGGACATGCTGTGTAAACGTTGGAATAAACTATGGAAACTATTGAAAAAAAAAACGTATGACGACATTGGTCGCTTTCGAGATAAAAAAGGAAGAACAAGAAGAAAAGACAGAAGACCGCCGCCCAAGGTACCGAATGCCCCCTACTCCTGACCTCCCATTAAACGCCAGACAGAGTCTCTCAAAAGACAGGCCATCGCCCCCAGGGCAATAACGGAAATTCCGATCCACAAGAGGACCCCGCATGCTACACTACCAAGAGGGGTACGCACTTGCGATTCCTCCGCTATGCTCCCTTCATATCTACAATTTTGAAAACTCGCCTCCTGTAGTTGTCCTCTCAGACTCCCCGTCCTCCTGTTTGTTTTTCTGCGTTGCTCTCCTTTGTAGCTCCTCCTCAAGAAGTTCCATCATGCGCGGGGCTACACTGTCCATTACTGCATGCACGACCTGTGGAGTGGAAACACACTTTGTTAGCTGCTGGTACTGGATTGCTTCGAGATGAATCATGCTTCGTGAAAGCACATGTACGCACCTTATCAACAAGCTCCTTCTTTGCTGCGGCAAAGACGCAGTTGTGCGGGATTGACAGTCGGCGCATCGTGCTGGACATGTCCGGGGACAGTTCGCATGCCTCTGGGTTAGGGCATTCCGAATGCGACGGGCGCTCCTGCTGTGACTCGACCTCCTGTTGTGGGTGTGGCCCTTCTTGAGATGCGGAAGACTGATCGTCCCCTACGTCGATGCCTGAGTCTATTCTGCCGATGGCCGCGTTTGCCGGGTAGTCGTCTTGACTATTGCGGAAGTCGTGCTCTTGGTTTCCGAGTGTACCCAACTGCTGTGTGTGCTGCGAGGAAGGCGGACCGGCAAGCCATTGCTGATATACCTCTCGCTCGAAGTCACAGGCCGGCTCGAAAGGCATCTGTCTATGACGGGACGTATTGCCAGGGCTGGTATCGGCTGATTGAGGCATTTTAAACGCAACAGACACAACGTAAACTGTCTGTAAAGGGTTGAGGTAAGATGAATCACTGGAGAGTGAAGGAAATATTTTAGACGGACTTCATGAACACTTTATATATTTGCAATCACGTAGTACTCTCTAGATGCCGCCGTTGTCTTGAACGCGAGGCCGTCTCAATCTACAAAGGTGGGAACAGGGCCCGACTCAAGCAGGCGTCCTACCCTGGGTTTCGAACGGGCATCAAAGACCACTGCCCGATACCCTTGTCCTTCCACCTACCTAAAATGTAATACATATTGCTCAGCACGTCGCTACCTTGACGCTGGCCCTAACAAGTCCAACTAGGACGTCAGTTTTTGGTAAGACTTTCACTGATGGCTAGCTTGTTAGCACGGGACTTCGAGCGCAATTAACAGGAAAGCGAGGCGACCTTCTGTACCTATGGGTGGCACTGGTGGCCATTTCAAATCACGGGTATTGCCGAGTTCCTGGATGACCACCTGTTTTGTTATAATCACAGCCAATGACTGTCCGATCGTGGACAATTTCAGGACAACCGCTATGGAGACTATTAAGTTGAGATACCCTTGACGCTAAGGATGGGTTCTCGGCGTGTTCAGAGATCGCCAACTTCTTCCAGAAGAGACCACACGTTCAGCCTTATGTATATCCCGGCCTCATGCCCCTAGTTCTTGCATATGTAGTTGTCGCCCAACCATCCACTGCTAGCCTAAGAGATCGCCATACCATTCATTACACTGTCTCAGACGCACAAGGTGATGGAATAAAAAGGACTGAAGGGATTCGGGGGCCATGATTCGACTTTGAGAAGCGCCCGACCATATGACATGTTTTAGGTGTTGAGGGTACGGTAACCGGATGGTTAAAGCTACACTCTTCTGAGAGCTGACAGTAACGATAGCAAGTGGCGCTGAGCTAAATCCAGGGATTGTCAAGAGATCTACACCGTGAAAACTCCGCGCGTACAGATATGCAAACAACCATGATGGCGATTTTCGGTGAAAGTCCTACAATAACACATACACCAGGGCTGGGGGGTATCTCATAAATCGTAAAAGCTTGATGACATGGGCGGCCCGGAGGCTCCAAGCCTCTGCGTCCCATCAATCCTGCTTCGTGGGCGGCCCGGAGGCTCCAAGCCTTTGCGCATCATCACTCCTGCTTCGAGTCAGGAGAAACAAAGAAAGGCCGATCGCTGACCATTGGGGTTGACGCTAGGGGAGTCGGCATCATGCCATGGCTTCATGCCATTTAGACCATGGCATGGTGCCGGCATGTGCCAATTGAGTGAGGGGACCCACAAAATCGGGCAGTGCTCCCGTCTCGGGAAAACACCTCTTTGATCCCCGCCGGATTGTCGTAAAACAATTCGCTAAGCGAGCTCCCATTCAGCGGCCCCAGGTAACTAACCGCCAGGGCCAGGTGAGCCTAACCGCTAACGTACGCTATTTTACAGCGCCATATGTGCTCACCGAAATTTGTGCCGTATGACGAGGTGGTGCCTAGAGTCGGTACAAACCTGGAAGACGGCTCAACCCCCGAGATGAGCATGTTCCAGTCACATCAGAGCAGTCGGACGCTCCTTCTTCCGGGTCCGAGCCGCAGAGTAAATATCATAACATGCCCGCGCTGAAATAGAATTTGGGCCTCCCATCTCCCTCACGATCATGTTTCGAAAGCGCTGAGTACCTTACCTCGACGGATGTCGTTCCTTCCGCTGTCGAACGTCAAGACACCCGTCATCGACCAATCCTATGGAAGCGTGTCCTTTGGCCCTTCTTTGGTACTCTGTTTTGGCCTGTGAGGCTATTGCCAATTCAGGTTTGTTCTTGCCCCTTTGGATACATAAACATCTTTAGTCAACATCATTATCTGGACTTAACATCAACCCTTTCATTTCACTACGAAATCAAGTGGTTTAGTTGAGCGCTCTCGCTATCACCTCGACATTAGGTGCGCAGTTTTTAGCTATTTTGGTAAGTACCCTTCACATCGGCCAACAGAATGGTTAGAGACAAAAAAAGAACGTGACTAGGTAGCTAACTAACAGAAAAGCAGAAACAAACGGAACAAGCTGGAAATGACAGGATCTTGACAAAAACGACGAGATTGGTGAGAACCGATTAATACAACGAGGTGATATACCGCGACCAGAAAGGAAAAATGCAAAGACGACTTGTGCAACAAGGTGAAGTGAAAGTTGAGGTTCCCCGTAATCCAGACCTCGGCCTAGTTACCCAGAGCCCGGACGAGGACCTCCTGAATGCACCGCTCCATATGCTGCCTCGTAATCTCCTTCACGTCCCGCTCAACATCGGTCAACTGCCCGGCGTCGTTGAGCCTCTGACCCCCGAGTTTGTTGCACACCGCATCGTAGATCAGCTGGGTCAAGGTCGGAGTCAAGTCGCGGACGATTTCGTCCTTTTCCTACATTTATTGGGTGATAGTCAGTGACTTGAGCCGGTGTATGCTGCTGCTGGTGCTACTGCTACTCACTTCTTTCGGGACACACTTCTGCTTGATTCTTGCCCAGCGCTTCGTAATGCAATTTGGGGTTCTCTCAATGCCATCAATGAGCGACAGCCAATGCGTGATCTCGTGGACTTTCATCCCCAAGCGCTTGCCCTCCCGCAAGATCCAGGTGTGCTCCTCGCTCCAATCCCGCTCAGAAGGCGCCGCACCTCGGGGATTAGGCCTGTGTGAACCGTCGTTTTGGTACACACCGGGCTGGGCCGGCGGCACTTGCTGACCGTAGTACCATCCGCCTTGGCCGGCCGTGGGGTTAGGGTAAGAAATGGAAGGCACGGGTCCGCCGTAACCCTGCGTGTAAACCGACGGGACACCTTCTCTGGCCGGCAGGTTGCCGATACCCGTGTTGGTTGTTGGGTATGACATGATGGGCATTCCCAACATGGCAGACGTGTCCTGCTCGACCTGTGACGGATACTGCAACAAGGCCGTTTGCTGATGTTGAAGATCGCTCGTCATCAAAGGGGCGGCCTGAGGTATGTCAAAATTGACGTTCGATGCTGGCCTGGGTGCCGACGAGGAGTAACCGACTAACGCCAGTTGCCCTTGAGTAATGTTGCTGTCTGCGTGTTGCCCAGGGCGACTTCCACCCCCAGGTTGGAGGTTGTGAGCCGAGCCGTGCTCGTCAGAGGTGGAGGGTTGGCGGTTGAGATTCAACATGATCTACTATCGACTTGCAAAAGTCGGGTATGTAGTAGGAACGCGGATCGCGAGGATGACGGTACTAAGTGATGAAGATGTGAAGTGGCCTGGGTGAGCACGGCTAATGAAGTCAAAAGTGGTGGGTGTCTGCCCTGGGCGGCAGCATCAACAATCTTTATGCTTTTGCCCATGAAGGGTCCATCGCAACCTTTGCACCGTCTTCCAGGAACTCTTCGCGGTGGGCAGTTCAACTGATTGGCAGTAAAGCCATCGTCCTTCCCCAGTTGTGTTTGCGGCAGTGGTTTAGTATTGGTTCGCTAGAAGAGGCGTGAAGTCGCGACATCATGCCCACATGGGGACCTGGCCCTGGTCCTTTTTGTAAACCCCTCGACAGTCGGCCAGGATCGAGGGAAACGGAGTCGATGATAAGGTCATTTGTGAGAGTTAGGCAGCAAGCAGGGAGGAATGCCAGCCATCGCCGTTTTCTCTGTGAACGGGCGACGTACGCTGTGTTGGGCATTGCGTAGATGGGAAATGAGTGTAATGATATTTTGGCTGGCCGTCTTGGAGGTTCCTGTGTAGTAAAGAGAGAATGAACTGTGTTAGGTGCAAGATTGGAGGTTGGATGGGTCAGGGCAGATCCGCCAATCGGAACCTGGCCAACATAGAGGGGTGGTGACGGGATGCACCACAGCCGAATCCGCCGTTCCAGGTTCGGGAAGGTCAACAGGGCCTTCTAGTGTAGCGCTGGCTTTTCCTTGGTATTGTTGACAAGCTTTTGCTGACTGTGAAGGGCTGGGATCGTCCCCAGGAGACAAAAGATGCAAGTACGGTATACAGGCTGTGTGCATATACAGCACGGCACCTGAGCCGACCCACCTGGCCCCTGAAGCTTATTTCAGCGCTCAGACCACCTTGAGCTCCCGGGCAGGGACGGACCTGACGGTCCGTACAGTAATTACAAATTTTTCGATAAATACAATTGAAATACCATTTTTGGCAATATTTTTGCCCTCCGCTCAAGGAGGTCTAAGTATATGATTAGATCTGAACTGTATATAGGTTTACAAATCGATTAACTAAATTAACGTTAATACTATAATTTTATAATAATACGTTGTATTATAATAAATCTAGTATATTCTTTATCGCGTAAATGAGATTTATTTAATGGTACTACTTTTAGGTGTCTATTATAGAAAACGACCTCTAAAATATAAATATAGCTAACGTATAATAATAATTAGATACCCTTTAGCAATGATAATTATTACGATTAAATGATACGAATATAGCTAACGCGTAGTAATATAAATAATTAGATACCCTTCAGCAACGACGATTATTATAATTAAATAGGCTTTAACCTAGTATTCTTATTCTAATTATATTTTCTTCTATTTTAATATCTATTCCAGTTTTTACCAGTATTCCGTTTATTCGAATTCGTAATTCTTCTTTTCATTATATTTGTCATAGAGTTAGACCTCTGTGACTGTCGTACGTGATTGCTGTCATAGTCTTACCACCATGTACCACTCACATGCTTGTGCAAGCTGTAGCTACTTCTGAGACTGCTGCAGTCTGATTGGCCAGGTCCTCCCAGCCTCGCGCGGCTGGGACCCTACTTAAGGCCAGTCCTCCGCGTACAGCTTACGACTGTTCCCTTTCCTCCCTCGTATCACGGGCAAAGGGTCGAGTGTAGACGGAGATATACGTAATTGCACGAGGGAGGAAAGGGAACAGTCGTAAGCTGTACGCGGAGGACTGGCCTTAAGTAGGGTCCCAGCCGCGCGAGGCTGGGAGGACCTGGCCAATCAGACTACAGCAGTCTCAGAAGCAGCTGCAGCCTGCACAAGCATGTGAATGGTACATGGTGGTAAGACCATAACAGCAATCACGTATGACAGTCACAGAGGTCTAACCCTGTGATACCTCGTATAATTATGTATATTTATATCTACACTCGACCCTTTGCCTGTAATACCTATAGCATCAAAATATTATTATAACTATACTTATAAAATTTTAAAAAGTTAGGATAAAAAATACAATCGTATAATATAAGTATATAAAATAAAAACCTGTAATTTTTTTTAATTTAATCCTAAAATCGAAGTCTAAATTGCTTATATAAAAAAATTAAACATATTATTATATTCCTTTCAATAAGGGTATTTTTCCTATATATTTTACATCGTTAGAAATTATTATATTATTTTATAGTTGAGGAATATTTCTAGTATATTTATCGATATAAAAATCTGTAACTATATACTGTCTGTTACGGCGGTGGCAGACTACTACACTAACCAGCCCGTGTTTTCACAAAAGGATACAAGTAATCGAAGCTGGAAGATTTGATACTCAAGTGGTCTTATATAGTTGTTTCGAACCATACGTAGTTCCGTATCACGTCGGCCATTACACTGTCTAATAGCAAACTTAGACCTCTTTTTTAGGCATTCTTAATTAATTACGGTAAATATATTAAAATAAACAACGTACGGACCAACTCATAGAAAGATTGGAAAAATTCAATTGAAAAACCCGGGTACGAAGTATACGGGGGAAGGTGCGCGCCAGCGCACGGGCCGCAGGCCCCCCTTGCGACCGCAGGTCGCCTTTTACCCAACAAAGTAGTCTGAACACTGAGATAACCTGAAGCCCTATCGACTGTTGGATCGGTCCATGACACTCACCTTTCACTCCGTCGAGATATTTTGGTGATCGCCGAAACGGACTCCAGGGTACTGATTGCTCGCGAGCATCGCGTGCTTCTTCCTGAACGAGAATAGCGCAGTCTTGGAGCTGTTAAACCACAAATGCATCAATACAGGAACATCCCTCTGACTCCGCTGACAAGGTGACGCTGGCATCCCCCCGGGCCCCCAACGGTTGCCGCTAAATCGACGGTTAACTGGCACTACGGAGGAATGTGGATGGCATCGTCACCACACGCCAAACCTTATACACTACAATAGCGGCACTAGATTGACGTTCAGCTGGCCAAGGGCGGAGGATGGTGAAGATTGACTAATGTGAAGTGGAAGCGACAGGAATAGAAGTTTCTGAACGAAGACCTAGGAACTGGGGACCGTCAAAGATACCGGCAAGTGGGCGGCTGATGAGAATGGTACCTGATTGCACAGCAGATGATCGACACCGAGTCGGCCGTTTACGGTGCTATTGTTCCTGACTTTTGGTTTCAACTGCACAGGCAATAGCTGAGGCGTCACGAGACCTTTAGCGACTGCTCAGTCTGGTGTGACTTCCTTCCTAATCAGTCAGGTCGCTTGAAGTCATCGGAGAGTAGAGCGAGATCATGAGCTAAGGAGCAATGCCAATGAAGCACGAGATTGTGCAACCCATAGGACGATGGAGGATCTCTAGATCTGGCAGAGCCAAAAGGGGGGAGGTTGGTTGCAGATGTGCCCTGTCTCGTCACCACGGGGCAATGTCGACTTCTTCCGCTTCCCGATCTTCGTGATAAGATCGAAGCGAGTGCGGTGCCGGCATGAAGCAAGTGCGTGGTAAACGACTTGGACCGTGCAACCCGACACACGACGCACATCCGGTGACATTCCTCCGACTGGGACCCCATCAAGCCCCTCTACCTTACCCAAAGTAAAAGGCTCTGGTGCATCTGGACCTTGGCTGTTCGTCAGGCGATTATTTGCGTTGCAGTTATTGTAAACAAAAACCATCTGCCATTCCTCAATCGTTCATGACTTGCATCTGCAATTGGACTCAATTGTTTACTCCGTCCCGTCCCATTTATTATGCCCAGCCGGTCGGGTACGGCCAATAATGTTATTGCAATAACGCGGGCGCAAGTGGAGAACAGGTCTGCTTTGTGCAGCTTGGTTGTTGTCACCCAGGAAAAAGGGACCCGACAAATCTCGAGTCAAATCCTCTTGAAAGGATTCCAGCTCCAAATCTTAATCTCCGGAAACTTAATTTCGGATCCGATCCAGACCAGTTCGACGTTTCCTCGGAACAGTCAGTGAACCTTTCTCCGAGGTAAGCGGACAGTGCGGACTGGAGCAAGCAATGGAAGTCAATGTGGGTCACACCCGAGCGGCGGGACGGGCGGGACCCGTTCGGTGGGTCTACTGCCGCTTTGACATTCAATATTTGGGGTTTGTTTGACAGGAACCCTCTAGGTATTGGCCATGACCGCTACTACGAACATTGTCTCGGTACCTGATCGGGTATAGGCCGGGGACCGCTCGTCAACCCGATCGTGCCAGAGATGAGTCCATTTGGTCACGGAAACAAAGCCTGGCCCACGGCCTGCAGGAGCCAAGAGCCGTTTCAACTTTCAACTTCGACATCACACCGATACTGCTTGCTGCTATTTCCGCACTCTATTCCGCAACCTCTATCTTCCTGCGAGACATATTCCCGTTTACCAGGCCAAGAAAGCTTCGAAGCTAATACGCGCGGCCATCAGGGGATTGCACGAAATTTGCACCCGACTTATTCAGGTTGATCGCGATAGCGCCCCCTGGGTTGTGAATCATCCGATGGGTTTTTCTCGTGGGTTCATTGCCTGGAAGTCGCCCGCCCCCCCGTCTCCTTGCTTATAGGGTACTAGGTTATAAGAACTAGACTATCTCAAGCATTCTTTAATGGCGTCTCCCAGCCTCCTAAGACATGACGGTCCGCATCAATTGAACGTTGACGTTTCTAACGACCCTTCCACCTGGCTGTGTAGAAACATGTTCTTCAGAGACTGTGCCGAACCGGTGCCCATCACTATCCGGCCCCGTCTCATCAAGGGTGGTCGAGCAGGTGGTGATCCGAGGTCTTGGACTCGGGGCGGGATGCAAGTGTGGCAGGATGAAGCGAGCAAACAGCCGGCGGGGATGGCCCACGAAGACGCTAGTTGTATTTCAGGGCCGCCACCAATTATGTTAGCCCCCCAGCGCCAAGAGATGCTTCCATCCCGTCTTTCGGACCGTTTTATTACGCTGGCTGTTCGCCCTATATACAGGGGTAGGCGTAGCGCAGCCGAGTGTCAGGAACACGAGGGTTTCTGTCCGCCAAGAGACCCGTTACGAGACAACTGGACCGCCGGACAAGTGTCTCGCAGAATCACGGTTCCAGCTGAGAGACAACAACGCTTGACAACCCCAGCACCGCATGTGTAATTTCGCTGTCGGTTTCATGAATGGGCATTCTTGTCAAGCCCCCTTTCGATGCCCGGATCAAGATTTGCCTCAGCGAGGCAGATAGCGGAAGGGAGGAAGTTGGCCCGGAGTGACTTGTCGTTTCTACCCTAGGTTGACATTCGGAGACCGCACTACGGGCGGGCCGGAAAACCTAGGAGTGGAATCGGATATGGGATGATCGCGAATCGAGGCCCCTCCCCCCCGGTTGCAAAAGTACATCCGATCCGGGGTCAGGCACCGGGCGCTGGAATATCAATGGATGGAGTGTGCTATCTCATCGGTCCCGGGCTGCTTGCCCCAGACAAGGCGTATTTGTGGGCGTTCACGGTTTCTTGTTCCGGCCTGCCCGGACCGGGAAGGGCGCGGTTGTAACGGTCAGGGGTTGATGGGCATTGATGATGCCAAGGGACAGCCAGTGGGATGGGGATGTGCGGTCTAGGTCTAGGTACCTGTCAGAGCTGTCGTTCCTGATGGCGTCAGCGAGTCCCCGCCAAAAAGGAAGAACACTTGCGTTAGCAGCCTGACTGTTGTCCTTCCCGTCTTGTTCCTTCCTTCCATTTTGTCAATTCGCCAACGACACAACATTTCCGCTTCACCGCCTGGCGGGGAAAGTGGTCCTTGGCCACAGAATACCATCAACTGTCTCACCTGCATCTCCAAGCCTGGACAGGGACCCTGACGGTTGCCAAGACCTCCTGAGGATGTTGGATTGAGCTGACCACAACATTTTTTGGCAACTGGGACTTTCGAAACAAAGGACGCAATTGAGAGCTTAGATCTCATTGATACTTCTCCGTACGCTGAGGTGCACCTTCAAATTCAATCTTGAAGCATCACCAGACTTTGTTCACTGGCGACTGTCAAGGTTCTTGAGTCTCGGCAACTGGCAGTGTGTTTGCCCGGTCGGAAAGCCCCGAACGGAATTTGGCCCATGCCGCTGGATCGTGGCTTCCAACGCACTCACCCTAAGACGGGCAGCCACGTCTTGTCTCATGGAGTGAGCGCGACCCCTAACGTTCGTTCTGTGAAGTTCTTATGGCCGCTGGTTGACTTGGGTCAGCTCTTGCATAAGCCTCCGCAGAAGTTATGATGTGCAGAAGCCGTGATACTAGTATGCAAAGATGCAGATGACGCTGTGCAGCGCTGTTGACAGCGGTTTACCACTGTTTGGGGCAAGCTGCTCCTTCCCTGGGCAATGAAAGGCTAGATCCTGGGTTAGACCTTTTCTAGTATCTAACATATGACTGCTAAAACACATCTCATTACGCGCAAGATGGAGGTGGAATCGTAAGATAGAGATGCCGCCAAATGGAAGTGCTTGAATGGAGAATAAACATGGTGTTGGGCACAAAGAGTTGGGACAGGAAGAAACGTAAGTGCACTAACAGACTCCACGTTGGGATGTTAGTGCTATAAGTGGTGATGGGTCAGGAATCGGTGACGCAGTGTCCGTGCGATAACAATTAGATAATAGCGGCGACATTTTATCTTAGGGCGCCCGCAAAGAGCACTAACACGCTAATCGTATTTTCTAGCGTGCATCGAGCCGCTTCCAGTCTTCTTCCTGTTCCCGCCTCTCCTTCTTGATGTGCTACTGCGCGCACATCAAACTCGCTAACGATGAGTTCTAGGGATATTCAGAAACACAATGACCTCATGGAAGTACTTTCATGTTTCTGCATACCCTCAGGCAGTACCTATGAGGTTGAGATATGGGTTAACACGAGGTGTCTGGTTAATGTGCTATATTGGTACTGCAGGTTGTTGCTGACAAAAGAGATGTTCATTGGTGTCGTAGAGACATGAAGGTCGGATACATGAAGGTCGGATACATGATTGTTAAGACATTATGCTATGGATGAGAGTGCGTTCAGGTTCCTTCCTGAGTTCTGTTCATGAGAGTTATAATGGAAGATATACGTGAACAAAGGAAAAAAGTGTGAAGTGAAATCGGAACTGAACAGAACCCATGCTTCCAGGAACAGAAAGGTTCGAACACCTAGTTCGCGGTCGAAGAAGCAATCTGCTGCAGCAAGATCTTGCGCTGATACCAGAAGGAGATGTGATCTTTCAGGTACTCGATGTCTGCCTCGTTAGGGGCGTACGCTGGGCCAATCGCCGCCGTGACCCCCGCAAGAACGATTTCGAGGGCTTCTGGCATGACTGCAGTGATCGCGTTGGAGAGGATCTGTTCATCGACAAAATTGAAGCAATTAATATCTGAATATGAGAGTCTGTGGTTTTTTTAATATAGCTCAAAAACTTACGCTGGGATTGAGGACCGCGGTTCTCAGTGCCTGATCGCTCACCGAGGCGCCGGTGCGAGTTGGTTCTTGAAGAACCGCATCCAGTAGCGTAGGCATGAGGGCCTGCGCCAAGGTGCTGAATTGGGTGCCAACAGGAGCAGGGCCAGCGCTGGCGGGCTGGGCGTGACCGTCTTCAGACGGTTGGTTCCTGTTATTGGCAGTCATAATTGCCGATTTGTGGACGTGCTTGGTGTGGTTGGCGAGTAAGTCGCTAATGCTTTGGCTGTGACTGATCGCAGGTATTTGAATTGGGCGTTCCTGAGTTTTTATGTCAGACACTACACTCTACGAGACATGACAGTCAAGACCTTTGCAAGTCGAGCAGAACGTACTGTGGAAAGATGAGAAAAGCGCGTGGTAAAGATCGCTCGCTAAGTCAACGGTAAGCACCACCCTTCAGAAGAAGCTTGAGAGTTAGAACGGGAGGGGAAGACTGTACAGCCAACCCTCCAATGGCTTCTTATCATAAAGGAAAACAGACCGGACAATGTGCTTTGTGTACAAGACCGGTGGGTCCACCGGCTTGTCAGCCAAAAAACCACAGGTGCTTCCAGACAGTTGACCATAATGACTGACTGGAGGCGCCGGTTGCCTTCAAATTATTTCACGATGCCAAAGACATGGGCAAGACCTTGGAAATGGCAAGCTTGGCGAATGCGAACCATATTTTGGACCAATTTCATGCAAAGGATTGGTGACTAGCTTGATGCCAACGAGGGAGAACATTGCCTTTTCGACGAATGTGGTACCATTACAGTGAGTATCACGGCTAAAAAGCACCAGTCTAGAAAAGCGACCCAATATCTCTCCGACTGCTCACCGAATAGTACTGGCATAATGCCTCAACCGGAGAAAGCGGGTGGAGCCCCTTCGAGTGTCGATGCAGTGACCCGACCCGGACGTCGTGGGAGAGGCGGCCTTGAGCGAGGAGGCTGTGGTAGGTCGGGCTGCCTGATCTTAGACGAAGTCCGCTCGGCTCGAGCTGCCAGGGGCGAAATCTGATCTGTCAGCTGGGCTGCGTATGCCTTGCGGTCGAAGATCGGCACGAGAGAGCAATCATACGCGAGATCCCCACAGGCTTAAAGCCTAAAACAACGTCGCTTCATGCCAGGCACCATGCCATGGCTTATGCCTTCCTGCAGTTGCACCGTTAGCGTGTTGCAGCTGATTAGTCAATTGGGAACGCCAGGGGCCTTCTGGACAAGCCGACCTGCAAGTCGAGGCGCAAGGTCGTTTGATGTCGACTCGATGTGCGTGCGGCAATTTTGCTTGTACATAGAGATGGATTCTCACAATGCTTCACATGGAGCTGCTGTTCGGTAAATCTGTCCTTATTTGTTCAGGCTTCAAGAACGGAGCCCGGCTTTGTTTACGAATCCGGGCTGAGATGCGATGGTTGTGTAGCAGCAGGCGTCTGAAAAAGATTGAGCGAGCAGCCTTAAGTCATGCGTCACGCATCTGGAGGTGTTTGACGTGAAATAATAAGGGCGGCAGTGAAGTCAACCGTTCCCGGCCTTCTCCTCTTCTTCGAAATCATCGCAGTTAGTACAAGCGGAATTGTTATCGTTCGATCAACGAAAACCGCAGCCAAGTGAGTACCTACTCGCATCCTTACCTTTCCCAGCCAGTAACATTTGATGCAGAACACTGACTTCAAGGAAGGGCTTACAGAAACCCGTGAACATGTCGCCTCAGCAGAGCTACGAAAAATCTCCCTCCGCCGACGTCGGCGCTGAAAGTCAGAATGATTCCCGTATGGTCCAATCAGACATCAGGGCAGGATCCTGGATGGCTTCATGCCCTGAGTCAAGCCATCATGAATCTGGATGGTCGCCTGCCCAGGCGATGCACGCGCTCCCGGGCTCGACATCAGCGGGACGGCAGCCAGCACCATGCCAGCGAGGCCGTCCGGCACGTGTTTCCTCGGTTGGATATCTTGGTTATGACTCGAAGTCTCTTCAGTCCAATGCCCAGGACATCAACCAACCACCCGAAGATCTGGCAAAGGCACGTGAGCGTTCAACACTGGAAGACATCAATGTGGTTCCTCAGCCTAGCAAAGGCAGCACCAGAGAGGATGAACAGCCAGAAGCTGGTTCCGGGCATGGCTTCGCCGAGGTTTGTACCAGACTCCCGTTCAAGCGGCAGACCTGTGGGTTGTAGACTGCTAACAAGCACTGCTCGCGACCAGATCCTCAACAAAGTGATGATCGACAATTCCGACCGCTTGATCGCCTTGCTGAAGAAGGAGCTGGACCGACAAAACGGCGTGGCCGAAGAGGCTTGCGAGCTTCAGCATACGAGACCCACTGGCATCAAGCCCAAGGACACCGAAAGCCAAGCCACCGAGACTAGTGAAACTAGAAGAGGCGATGACCTTCAGAATCTGGGTGCCACGGGAAACGGGGCTCAGGCTGGTGACGATCTCGAAGGGCTTGATCACGGGTCCGGAAGCACCAAGTCGGAAAAGAGGAACACAGAGTGTCGGCTGTGATCTAGCACGGTTCCGGATTGATGACACCCAAGGCAGGGAAGCCATCGTCTTCTGGGAGTCCAAGTACTTTCGAATCCAGGAGGGGGTGGAGAACCGAACCGCCTTTGTTGGGAGAACGTCTCTCAGAGACGCGTGCTTTGGTCACGACCCCCAGTCTGTCGTTTCTTTCGGTCTCTCTTACCTTCTTCCATCTTTCTACTCTTCCATTGTTCCTCCATCGGATTTTACTGTCAACGCTGGTTGACGGCTCTGCTTGTCTCTCTCACACACGCTCTTTTTCCAACGGCTCTTGTGTCCTCTCCCCTTCGTCATTCTTTTATGGCCACAGGCCTGGTCGTGCTCAGGTCCTCGCATCTCCCACCTTCCGCCATGTAGACAGATCGCAATCTATCGCCAGTACGTCCTTGTACGCTTGTATATGGGCAGTCAATTGTCGCCTCCTCGGAACTGGCTCCTCTTTGTGATTTGACGTTGCGCCGCGGGTCATCGTCGCGTGTTGATCGGCTCGATTGCTTTTGTGCTACCGTCCCTTGAGCTTCCGCTCCGCGAAAGCAGGCAGGACTTGTTCGTGGCCTGCGGACTGAAGCCTACAGGAATCTCTGCGACGAGCGTCTCGGGCGACTGTGGCACGCAGTATCGTATCGGTCACCGGACGTGTTTGACGTGTTTCCGGCTCGCAGAGGAAGATTTCGAAGTCGCGCATGGGGACTCGTTACTATACGTACTCGGCGTCAATTGTCAGTAACATGAGCGCGTGTACAAAAATGGGGTCCGAACACTATCACGGCGAGCCGCGTGATTTGGCAATCTCCAGAGTCGGCTTTCGTGGAATCATCTGTGTCTGGTACGCGTCGACTGTCGAAGAGGGAAACTTATGTGGAGGTAGGTAGATTCCAACGTAGGCTGGGGTTGGAAGGCTTCGAATTTGGTTTCTGTATTGGACAGCGGTGGCCATGATATTAGCTTCGTTGTTCTTGGTTGATGGGTCGAAGTTTAGGATCGGGCGGTGCGGTGAATGATTCTTATGATGTCGTTTGCCCAGCCATTCAGCGTTGCGATAAGATAAAGCTATCCTCTCGGCAGGCAAGCTGGCGCCCGCAATGTGCTTTGCCGTCTGCCGGCGGCAGTTGAAGACCTCCCATTCCCATCCATCCCTCTTTCCACCAGCAGTTCACTTTCTTGCGCCTGAAAAATGATGCCCCTTCATCAATCCGACTTGCCTTCAAATTCGTGTTTTGCGCTCTAGGCGACGTTTTTCCCTCCCTCGTTCTTCCTTCTTCATATTTCAATCAGTCGCCGGCGGTCTCGGTCTGGCGAGACTGCGACTAAAAGAGGGGATCACCAGCCTACGAGCCTACAGTACCTACTCGCTAAAGCAACCAAGTACAGGCTTCAACACGCGGTATGTCAGCGAAATGGTGACCACAACGAGTGCATGATCACAAAGGATCCCTACATGAACTGTGTTCTGACTTGGGTTTTGTTGTTCTTGTCGCGGAGATTAACCTGGCTGCAGTGACAACAATCGATTCGCACGGCACATGCATGTACACATGCTCTCAAGCCTGAAGTGGACCGGTAGGACACCTGCAATCAGATGCTCCCACATCCCACATCAAGGATCCTGTACCTACTGGGAGAGGATGTGGGAGTGGGATTGGGAGTGAGGCGGCATACCAAGATACAAATATCCAACACTCTGCGTTTCGACTTTCCCATGGCCACTCGGTTCGTAAGTTGATTCCCTCTTTTTGCAATTCTTGCTTGGAATTGCCCTCAACAACGACCGCGGGACGTCGAGCTTTCCATACCTTACTCGGGTAAATACCACAAGCGGAAAGCATGAGCCAGTTATTCGCTAGCACTGAAGTTAGTTTCTTAACAGTGTTTGGCGAATGTTGGAGGGCATTCAGATAAGCTTTCACTACTGTGCGGTAGCCACACCCAACAGGTTCAGCCAAAAACAAGTACTGAATTTAACCAAGTTTACAGTGATGTCCTGTCCTACAGGAACGACCAAGTTACAAACAACAACCAACGCCAGGCCGCCATAACCCAAACAAAATACCATCGCCGACGCACCAAGATCCTCCGACAAGCGACATCGAGCCATTGCTCTCACGATCCAATAACCCCCTCCATCACCCAAAGTCAATTCTCGTTGCCAGAAAGACGAACGACCATGTCCTGAATGCAGCGCTCCAGGTGGCGCCTGGCAATGTCCTTGACGTCCTGCTCAATAGCCTCCGACAACCCAGGGGCACTGGCAGCGCTGCCCATCTGCATCATCCTTCCACGCTGGAGCCTGGCGACCTCGGTATAGATCAGTTGGACCATGGTCGGAGTGAGGTTGTAGATGATTGTGTCACGTTCCTATTATTGATGATCCGTCAGCGACTGGCATAAGTAAGTTTGTTTCCTGGTACAACCCACACGCTTCGAAACACAGCTCTCCTTCATCCTCAACCAACGTTTCGTGACGCAGTTGCTCGATCGAAATCTTCCATCAAGCTGATAGAGCTCCGTGACGATCTGCGGGACGGTTTTGCCCAACCGTTTGCCCTCCTTCAAGATCTCGGTGTGCCGCTCCGTCCACTCGGGTGCCATACTACCATTCACCATTGGCATATGGGATCCGTTGTTCATGTTTTGTTACACGCCCTGGGTGGAAATCCATTCGCTCTGGTTGACCATGGGAGTAGGGAAACGAAAATGGGACTCGGCCGCGCCGTAGGACTGGGTCATAGCTGGCATGCTGGGAAAACCGGAGGTGGCTGTCATCATCGGATTCCGATTGACTTGCTCGGCCTGCATAGGGAACTGGTGGAGAGTACTCGGATAGCTGTGCCGATGCTCGAAGGGCATGAAGGAGGTAGCTTGGGAATGGCCAAAGACACCGTCCTGCGCTGGCACTGAACTGAACATCGAGAAAGAGCGTGTGTGGGATGGCATGTGCGCATTCTCGCTCGCTGGACGTTGATCGGAAGGACTGCCTGCTCCCTGAAAAAAGGCCTGAAATACGTCTTCCACCTCGGTGGTAGGAGACATGTTGTTGTTGGTCGAGTTCGATGCAGACATTTTGGTTGTTTTGATGTAAAGGTGGTAGTTATTTATTTGTATCGTTGAGGGAAGTTGTTGAAGTTGCTGGTACTTGCTTCTTGTGTCGGGCTTGTTCTTCAGATACTATGGAGTTGATGACCTATGCACTTATATAACACCTTCTTGAGGTCTGTTTACATACTTGATATATCATGACCTTTTCAGCAAGACGCTGCGATGTAGCTCCAAAGCCTTGTTGACAAGGGATCTGGTTTAGATTTAGCCTAGTCTCCACTCGCCTAAAGGCTAACATGAAGCCGACATGGGTGCGGACATTGCCGCCGAGGCTCATGATAGCTGTTGCTGTTGAATTATGCTATCTCTCTGCTGACTTGATTAACTACCTCACCGCATGTTTTCTTCCCTGTTCCAACGAAATTCAAAGGTTTGCTGACTTCCTTCAACTGTTCCCTTTCGAGGTAAACGTCCTGATCTTTAATGAGGATCTGACGTTTCATCATTTGCAAATGGCACTTGGAGGCTTAAATGACTTGGAAACACGAGTCTGGAACGACTGCCTTCGGCCTCTGACGGTTGTCCGTCCACCGTGACAACCGGCGGAGATGCTGGACGAACTCAACCATGATGATCTAGTGGTCTAGATCATCTTGATATTATCAGGAAGCAACTTACCTCACTCCCTTCCGGTGAAGATCATTGCGGATGTCGCTTCGTCCGTTAACCAAATAGCTTTGTTCGGAACATTAATGGACATGTTCCAGCACTTTTTCTGACACCTTGCCAGGGCTGCAAGTCCTTGCGCCGTGCACGTCTCTGTACGTATCGTTAGCAAGCGGAGGCATCGCCGTTACGGTAGCACGAGGAATTCGTGGGTAGGGAGTCGAAGGACTGAATGATCAAAGACAGCAGCCAAGGAATCTGCAATTCACTTCACCCATGAAAAATACGGGATCACCTCATCGATCAAGGTACGACAGGTACGACGGGAGCCGCAAGGCTCCCGGGGGTGCATGTCACCGTCTGGGGTAACCAAAGTGAGATCTGCTCGTCGGTATCCACACCCACGTGTAGTACTACTTTAGCGAAGATCAGGGAATCGTCAGCGACCTAATTATAACCCAGTGGAATTACAATCAATGCTCCAGCGGTCAGCCTCTCACCTACGCTCGAGATACCACCAATTTTGGCTGGGCAACGGCGACACCTCCGACCAGGGGGAAACTTGGGCTCGACCTGGGGGAGATGGAAAAACTGGAATGGGGGAAAAGGTGGAAAACATCGTAACCGTGCGACTCACCGATGCCGAAATCTTAGATCTCATCAACCAGGGGAAACCAAGGTGATGAAACGACAAGGCAGGAGCCATGATATGTGGGGAAGGTGCGAGACTGACAGATGCAGGAACCGACATTGCCGAGACCTGAGATGGGCATCGACCCTTCAGATGTGCCTTCCTGTTGCCAGGAACCGAAACCGAGAAAGCAGGTCTGGAGCCCTGGAGCGATGCTGTACGGCCTCGAACAGGAAGGTAGGCATTGTCACCGTTGAGGATCTTCAAGACTGATCCCGTCGTGCCGGTTCAGTTGTTCGCTCGGACTTTTTTCTCTACCATCCGCTACCTTCGCCAACCTTCTGCATCAAACTCCGGCATGTAAAGCCTACCTCCAAGGTACGTTGCCCAAATTTTGGGAAGTAGATGCCGAGATGCAGGTTTGACACCTGCCATCCTATGCACTGTGGCGGCACGCATGCCGATGATGATCTGTATGGGGGTTACAGACTTGAGGTTTGGAGGCTCTGTAGGGTAGCGTGCATTGCCGCTGCAGTGCCCTGAGCACTGCAGCCGGATGGCGCCGTAGGATTAGGTTTCCCCAGTTCGGCCCCTTCCGGTGCACCCCGCCCTGGTGCCTGCTCGGTTTCGCGCTTTCCTCTTTTTCTTGGGAAACGACACCTTTCCCTCCTCGCCGCACAGTACCTCGTTCCTGACGACTCTTCCACTTACGAAGATTGCATCTTCCAAAATTGCTAATTCGTGAAACCGTTACCGCCACTCAGAGTCAACCCTCTTCTCGATTTTGCTCAACGTATTCGGTTCAAGCTGGCCACAACCCTGTTATCGCAGATGCCATTGGCCAATGATAACACCCGTTTCTACCAAGAGATGCCAAATTCGGCAAATGGGAAAGGGGTCGTCGTCCTCTTCCTGTGCTGTGCTACTCGGTGGGAGATACAGCGAGAAGCGCGCTGCGGTAATCTGAAACAACAACCCTTATAAAGGACACAAGGACCTGGGGTAAATTGGCTAGGCACTCTAGGATACTGACGCAAAGCTGAAAATAGAGTATGCCTGGGATTCAACATTAACCACCACTCTCACCGACAGACCACCTTAATCTCGCCTGCCAAGCCGCCGTAGGGTATCCAATCAAGTCCTTCTCTCGATGAAACAATGTCAAAACAGGCGAAAAAAGAAATGACGAACAAGCTTCCCCGGCGAGCAAGGTACTTGACGTTTGACGTTTGATGGGCATTGATTCGGGACATTGCGCATAAGATTTGAGATCATGATCTGCATGTAACATCTCAGGGCCACGTGGGGATCGTCGAGGGGGACCCTTCTCAAACACCATGGATGTTAAGTACAAGGCTGGGATAAAGTCTAGACTCTAGAACCTGATGTGTCATGTTCTCGTCATTGAAGCCAAGAGGGAAATGCAATATCAGCGATTTCGATGTCAATGTTGATGCCTGGTTTATTTCCGGTGTTTATCCATTTAACAACACCGCATTTTTGCGTCCCACCCCGGATTTATTGGCAGGGGGTGCTAGCTTAGCTTCAGTTGGCGTTCCTGACGATCAGGCCACTGTCGGTGACACCTACTCTTCTCACCTGTGCCAGCGTTCGGCAGTCGGGCCAGGCCGTGGATCACACGGCTGACTAGGCACTCCGAGTCACCCGAAGACGACCACGCCTTGTCTCACTGAATGATACCCCTCGTGTTCGTTTCATCGATTCTTGGGGGAACCTGTTTCATATCTTGTGTCAGATTTTACACAAATTGTGATGTCCATGTGGAAGAGTGACGTCCGCAACTGCAGGTGATGCACGGCGGCGTTGTTGACAGGGGCTTACACTATAAGTAAAGACCCCGTTCCCCGTCGTTGCCATTTCTCTTCCTCTTCGTCGTCGATTTTGCTGCGCGAACACCAAATCTGCTAAGGGCGCACTTTACAGAATCTCTCAAAACAACAGGTATGTTGACTTATTTATACAACAAAGAGGTTGAGGATTTAAGTCTAGTTGAGAGACTAAAATGATAGTGTGAATGGAAATGTTCGCCGCTTTGGATCTCAGAAGCGATGGAAACGAAAAAGAAAAAAGAAAAAAAAAGAGAAAAAAAAGGAAAGAAAAAAAAAAGGTTAAGAAAAGAACAAGAAGGGGTCGAGAACAGCAAGGGAAAATTTCCTAACAGAACCAAGGACTGCAAGAGTAGAAATGAAGCTCTCACTTCATGCTTGCAGCTACCTGCTGCGACATGATCTTGGTTCGGTACCAACCCGAGATGTGATCTCCCAAGAGGTTGAGGACCTCCTCGTTTAGGTGTAACTCGGAACCCATGATGGTCCTGAGCTCCTCGAGAACGATGTTGAGGGCTCGCAGAATAACGTTGCCGATAGCAGTCCAGAGTACCTGTGTATCGGACATGAGTTGACTGCAAGTGCTTGCTGAATTGAGGCCCTTACATGCGCCGTTCAAAACAATATGCTTACATGCGCCGTTCAAAACAATATGTATCTCGGCAGTAACACTCGCACGTGGATAGAAGGTTAATACTTGAAACAGAACGTCACGATACGCACAGAGAAGACTGCTGTTTATTTTATGCGTTGTGGGCTCAACGCATCTTTAAAGGAGATACAGACGTATTTGGGACCATGGCTGCCCGATCCACTAAGAAATGCAAAAATGCCACCGTTGTAACGAGCCCTCGTCAGCCGCCCCCCGACGAGACTTGCTCCCATTAAGCAAATAGCCACCTATGCCGCGCCTTATCCAGTATCGTGATTTCCTGACCAAATAACAATGAAGGATGCCGAAGCTAATTGCCCCTCCAACCAACAACCCGACCTCGTGAAGTGCTTCCCATGCAACCGCAAAGGACACTACGCGTTCTCTCGCGACTGCCCGCTTGTAAAAGCGGCGCTCGGTCGCTCCTCCACGGCGTTCATGGAACGCCCACGCGTATTCGCCCAGCGGGCGGAACCGGTATCAATCGACGAAACACCGGCCCCGAGTCAGCCTGAAGCCACCCAGCCGGCCGAAGAGGTCCTACAGCAGCAACTCCTCCAGCAGACGCAAACCGCGGCGACGCAAGAACCTATGGGGGACGTCCCCCCTGCGACGCCGTCCCGGTCCCAACCCACACACGCTGACGAAGACGGCGACCTGGATATCCCAGATGCAGAATTAGCAATCCTGGAATCTGAATGGCATGAAGTACAAGCTAACAAGAAGCGCGGCCCCTACACGAAGCAGCAACGAGAACTTCGCGCCAAGCTGGAAGAAGCTAAGGCGAAGCGCCAGAGGAAGACACCTAAGACGCTAAACATCGCCACCAGGTCGAGCCCTCGATTACACCAGAAGGATCCTGCCCTATCTTTCACTCTATGAATCTAAAGATTCTGTACTGGAACGTGGTGAAGTCATACAACAGGATAAAGATCGCGTTGGAAATGGAGGACCACTACGATATTATAGCGATCCAAGAACCAGGCCGAAGTGCGGCCACGGGCGGCATCCCCAACACTAAGGCCTCACGCTATTGGGCGTTGGATAGTACCAACCAGGGACGCGCGGCGCTGTATGTAAGTAAACGCTTCGCAATCGATCGGTGGGACTACGAACAAGGAGAAGACTGGGTCATGATGAGGCTAGGAGAGGGAGAGAACGAAATAAGGGTGTGGTCGGTCTACTCACCGATTTGGGACTCGGGTCCTGAACGTAACTGGTATACCCCCCTTAGGGAAATCGCATCGAGACCGAGGGGAAGGGACGTTGTGGTCGGAGATATGAATCTCCACCACCCGATATGGGACATTCACGGAAGACGGAGTAAAGGCAGTCATGTCCTCCTCTCGCTAGCAGCGAGTCACCGACTCGTACTCGCGACGCCGAGAGGCGAGCCGACGCGGCTGGGGAACGGAACACGGCGGGAGCTCAACAGCACCATAGACCACGCTTGGATAGCGGAAACACTGTATGCCACACACCAGACGGTGGAGGACGGAGCCCTCACCGGATCGGACCACCAAGCTCAATCGGTCCTAATCCGCACCGAAATCACCGAGGAACCGGAGGACGCCGAGGAAGGCTACAGCTGGGCACTTATGGATGCCAGGAAGGTTAAGGAACTCGCTTATGAGCACATAACGGTCCTGGCGGCAATTACTACGGTTGCCGAATTGGAGACCGCTACCGAACGGCTGATGGAGGAACTGACTAGGATCGCGGACGAGGCGGTCCCGAAACGGAAGCGAGGGAGGGGGAGGCGTGCCGACTGGTGGGACTTGGGTGTGAAGGAGGCCGTTAAGCACGCAAGAAAGATGGCAAGGGCATGGAGGCAGAGGAGAACACCGATGAGAAGACGAGAGTTGGAGGAAGCGAGACGGAAGCAAGCCGATGCTATCCAATTTGCGCAGGCGAAACGGTGGCGCATCCTCACGGAGGAGGCGTCGAGAGACCCGAGGAAGCTCTGGACGCTGGAGCGGTGGGGAAGGACACAGAGCCATCTGCCTTCCGACCCCCCCAAGATCCCGGCGCTATGTCGAGAAGGCAACGTAGAGGAGGAACGGAGCTATGAAGGAAAAGCGGAGATCTTAGCGGAAAGATTTTTCCCGGGGGTAGAGGTACCAACAGAACATCTGCCGGACTGGAAAAGGGAGAGGGAACGGGTGTTAGATATGAGCCATGAGGTGAGCGCGGATGACGTGGCGAAGACCCTCGGCCGTATGGCACCTAACAAGGCGCCCGGGAGCGATTAGCTCTCCAACAAGCTGCTCAAGGCGTGTGGGAGGCGGCTGGCGGAAGCGCTAGCTGTGATCGCGACTGGGAGCTTCACCCTCGGTTCCTTCCCAGCACGGTGGCGCCATGCGAAGGTAGTAGTTTTGAAGAAGCCAGGGAAGACAACGGCACAGAGGAAGATGGCCGGAGCATGGCGCCCTATAGCACTTTTGAGTTGCGTGGGGAAGGTTCTGGAAGCGATTGTTGCGGAGCGTCTAGCCCTCGTAGCGGAGGAGCATGGGCTCCTTCCGGAGGGACAGATGGGGAATAGGAAAGGGAGATCGACGGAGTTTGCGGTTCGGGTAGTAACGGAGACGGTACATACGGCGTGGGATCTAGGGGCGGTAGCTTCACTACTCCTCTTAGACCTCAAGGGGGCGTTCGACTGGGTTAACCATAGGTGGCTCCTCCACACCTTGTGGGAAAAGGGACTGCCCCAATGGCTTCTACAATGGGTCGAGAGCTTCCTGACTGACCGGAGGGGAAGTCTATTCTTCGACGGGAAGTCGTCACGGGAGTTTCGGGTGCCCGTAGGGGTGCCGCAGGGCTCCCCTCTCTCACCAATCCTCTTCTTGATCTTCATTGCCACATTATATGAGGCACTGAAGGAACTGAAGGGTACAGTGACGGTAGGATTCGCAGATGATACTAATATTTTGGCCTTTTCGAGGTCGACGAGGGAGAATTGCGAGAAACTGAAGGAAGTATGGCGGATCTGCCATGGATGGGCGGAGGAGAGAGGAATGGAGTTTGAGGCTGGCAAGTCCGAGCTCATCCACTTTACCAAAACCCGACAGCCACGGACCGAGACCGTCGACTTGGGGGGACACCAGTTGGCCCCCACGGAGTCGGCGCGGTTCCTAGGGGTATGGCTGGACCGCAAACTGACCTACCAAGCACACCTTCAGGCGGTAAAGAAGAAAATGTCAACACAGATCTTCGCTCTCACACGCATCGCGGCGAAGACGTGGGGTTGTAGCCTCGTCCGAGCAAGGGAAGTGTATACAAAGGCAATTCGTGCAGCAGTAGCCTACGGAGCGTCAGCGTACCACACGCCAACGGAGCCGCTTGGGGAACCACGCGGTCTCGCGAAGGCTCTTGCAACGACCCAGACTAACTGCTTAAAGGTAGTCTCTGGCGCTTACAAGGCCGCGTCTACGTTTAGTGTGGAGACGGAGACCTTCTGCCCACCCCTCGACCTCTACCTCAACAAGAGAGTTAGAGCGTTCGAGGAGCGACTCACCCGCTCACCGGCGGCAGCCTTCGTTAGAGGAACGCCAGCTTGGGTGGCGGCAGAGTTACGGGGTAGAAGGGGAGGTAGACAACTACAGCTATCCCCGGTCAGCGGCCGAGCGAAGGCTGAGTGGGCTGAGCGATGGGCCCCTAGAGAAGACATCCCGATACCGCAGGGGGAGGTGAGAGAGCCCACGTCAGGTGAAAAGAAGCGGGTGGTTGGAGGAGGCGACTCGGAGAGAGTGGATAGCGAGGTGGCACGTTAGGGTGGCTGAGGCGATGAGCAAAAGGAAAAAGCTGAGTGCCGCAGAGGCGCGTGCACGGTTCGATGGAACCACGCTGCAGTACCATACATGGCCCAGCACGGATGAGAAGTCATCTCCACACTACCTCTCGAAGGCTATGAGCTCACTCCTAGTGCAAATTAGGACGGGCAAAATAGGCTTACGGGCGTTCCTCTTCGAGAGGAGAGTGCTGGAGGTGACAACACCGTACTGCCGGTGCGGGTTAGCGAAGGAGACGTTCGAACACATTGTCTTAGAATGCAGGGAAACGGAAGATACATGGTTATGGGGAGACCCAACGTGGCCGACAAATATTGAACAACTCCACGACGAACTCGAGACTGTAGCGGGGGCGGAACGAATCCTCCGCTGGGCCTTGCGGTTGGGACGACTGCAGGAGTACAAGCTAGCGGTGAAGATCGAACAAGCGAGGGAAGCAGAAGAGCTACTGGGGAGCTCAGATTAATCTTTGATTCTGGAAAGCGGGAGTGCGGTCGGGGGACCACGCAACGGAATTAAAGATTGCGCCTCGGGAATGACGGTGAGGTCATACCGAGAGGAAGATAAACATCGAAGGCACGGCGTCGACACGGCGTCGTTGCAATAGAGAAGCGGAGGGTTTTCATCCGGCTATGGTACGGTTTTTCCCACCGACTAAGAACGGAAGCAGCACCGCATACCCACAGGGTAGACTATGTAAATAGTTAGCGTGTATAAGACCAATAATAATATCAGTGCCAAATCAACCCTGGTTTGTTTGTTAGCGTGATTTTTACGACCTCTTCCGACAAGGGAGAAAACACTGGATGCCGGAGCTCTCACTGGTCCAAACCACTGCAGAATCAGGGTGAGGAACAACACTCGGTCACGTTCCACACATGCTCCAAAACTTCGAACTCGGTAATCCGCCATGGTAATCTTCATCCACCCCTCTAAGTCTAAACTGCGATAACATCACCAAAACAACAGCTGAAATCGTGTATTCTGTTCGAGTTAACTTGAATTCGAATGGGCTCTGCCCCACTCTGATTTTATAAGATGCCCCTTCAAATTTCAGTGTCGTGTTGGTGGTCAAAATGATGCTGAGACTTACATTAATGACTGACTTGCCGACTATGCGAGGTAGGCCCGCTGTACTTTTTGTGCAAAAAAGGCGAGTTGCCATGGCGCATTACCAAAGTTTGTGTGACAGCGAATGCAACTACCCCTCATGGAGCGGTCAACCGCTCCAGTAGTTTCTAGGCCAGACCGTTACTCCTAATTTGTCACCCTGAGACGATGGGGAGCAATGATGGGGAAAATGCTTGATTGGCGGCTTTAAGAAGTGAAGAGAAATGGGTTACCAACCTGCCAACCCAGGTCTAAATTCTACTAAGATGGAAAATCAAGGTGGGGAGCTCTTTCCAAACGTTACAAAACCGTAAGCCGTTTCTGGCGCTGATGCAACCCAATCCAAACGCGCTCACAAATAACTCGCTTCGGCTCCACAGGCCGGCGATTGTTGATGGTTAAGAACAACCCCCGATAGCTGCACAAGGATGCAGATATACAGATTAGAAACTTTTACGGTAGTTTTACATGTAACCGAATAGAGGCCTTCAGATTACACTATATAGCAAGAATTAAGATGAGCCTAGCTACTCCATTCCGACACAGTAGCCAAGGACGACAGCGTGTTAGGATGCTCAGGCCCAAGGATTCGCTGCTGAGCCTCAACACAGTCTTGCATCAACGCTAGGGCATCTTCATGTCGACCTTGACTATTCCACGTGAAAGCAAGATTGGCCATGCTCGTCAGCGTGTCGGGATGATCGGCCCCGAGCTTCGCCTTGCTCATCTCCATCACCTGCACCTCCAGCTTCTCGGCCTCCTCCCACCGGCCTTGGTTCCTATACGTCGACGCCAGGTTGGCCATGCTCGTCAGCGTGTTGGGATGATCGTTGGGTCTGTCGTAGAATAATTGGATAGTATACGGTTGGAAAGAAATGTAGCATCTCAAAGTGATGGCCTAGTTATACAAGGATGACTTAACGATACTGTATATCTCACGGTGTCATATGTATTAGATATTACCAACAGGTGAAAATTTTCTTGAATCTAGAATGGATGCCTTGGATAGGCGCAACACATCCTTCAACCCCCTATCTCCTTCCTCCCTCTTCCTCCCTCTTCCCCCCTCTTCCTGTACCTTGCTCTTCCTCTCTCTATCTTCCCTCATCTATTATCATGGCACCTCGTCAGCTGGCCTGTATGTACAAACTGCGGGATCGAATCAATCAACTGGATTCAATCCCAACCAGGTACCGCAGCCTATTGGAGCATCGTCTGATTATTGCGTGCAGTGAATAATGCTCTCGCTGCGGAAGGAGTTATCGGCATAGAGATGGAGGGTGCGGGAGCTTGGGACGAACTACCATCTATTGTGATCAAAGGGGTATGTGACTACGCTAATAGCCACTAAAGTAAAATGTGGCAGGACTATGCGGCTGATACTGCTGCATCAGTTGCGAAAGCTGTTTTGGATGAGTACCCAGGGAGCGGAAGGGTTTCTGGGGACGCACATGGTCCGCAAGAAGCTATGAACCCGCTTGGTGATTTTGCAAGGTACCAGGAGATGCAGCAAATGTCAGAGAAGGATCAGCAATGCTTAAAGGACTTGCGCATTACCGATCCTCGCCACGATAAAACCCGCATCGAACAGACCAAAGGCGGCCTTTTGCAAGACTCATATCTTTGGATCCTTGATAACGCTGACTTTCAACGATGGCGTAACGACCTGCAACACTAACTGCTTTGGATCAAGGGTGACCCCGGCAAGGGGAAGACTATGTTGCTGTGTGGCATTATCGATCAGCTATCTCTAAGGAATGCTACCAACGCGGACTATTATAATATGGCCTACTTCTTCTGCCAGGCTACCGACTCTCGCATCAACAATGCAACCGCCGTACTACGTGGCCTGATCTACCTACTTATCGAGCAGCAGCCATCTGTCCTCTAACACGTGCGGAAGGAGTATGACCATGTAGGCGAGAATCTCTTCAAAGATGCAAATACGTGGGTCGCCTTATTAGAAATCTTCACCAACATCCTACAAGACCCAAGCCTCCGAACGACCTACCTAATCATCGACGCACTTGATGAGTGTGTTGAAGATCGGTCACAGCTTCTTAGCTTAATCGCCCAGCAATCATCTAGATCTTCTCAAGTTAAGTGGATTGTTTCGAGTCGCAATTGGCTGCAAATCGAGGAACAATTGGAGATATCTACGGCCAACTTGAAAGTCTCCCTGGAGCTAAATGTGGAATCCGTTGCGGCAGCTGTCGATGCATTCATCTTATACAAAGTGGACCAACTAAGAGAGCTGAAAAAGTACGACTCCACCACGAAAAGACCGTTGAGGACTACTTGCGCTCCAACGCGCAGGACACGTTCCTCTGGGTGGCGTTGGTCTGCCAAGTACTTGCAGGCCCGGAGGTTAAGAAATGGCGTACCGAAGAAATGCTACGCAAATTTCCGTCCGGGCTGGATGCTCTATATACGCGGATGAGAGAGAACATGAGCCGGTCCGAGGATTCCGATCTCTACAAGCGCATTCTTGCCGTTGCCGCAATTGCTCGTCGACCAATTAACCTTCAAGAACTAACCACTCTCGTCGAGGTGCCTGATGTTATTTGCGACGATCTTGAATCTCTAAAAGAGATTATAGGGCTTGGTCAAACCAGACTCGTTGGTGCGAGTTTATCCTAGGAACCTTGTGGAAGACAGACAGGGGTTGCATACCTGGCTGGGGCGTAGCAACTCTGGCGTTCCTGGGCGCAAGTTTTTCCTTGTCGATACAAGAAGCATCAGAATACTGGGCGGCGATCACGAACAAGGCTATCCAATTGCCGTCACCGGCGCTCTCATCCGGGCCCTTTAGAGGTTGCAATGCGAGTGTGATATGTAATATGGCGTCGTCTACCTTGACCATTACAGTTCTGGCGGGTTCGGAAGTCTAGCCATCCGGAATTTGACGTCGGGGGAGCAAGTCTTTACCCCGGTAGGTCCAGTCTTGAACTAGGGTCCAGATAGAACGTGCTGGACGGAGGAATCGAGGAAAGGAAGACCCGGAGGGCAATTTTGTTGCGAAACTTTTCTTCAGACTCGAATGCTTGGTGTTAGAATCGAACTGGTTTGGGTCAGATGTCAGGGGCTTGGCACACCTGCAATGTCAGCCCTACCGACAATAATAAACGCCGTCGGTATTCAATATATCAAGGTGACCTTCGTCTGAAATCGTCCGAGCAAATATCATAGTTTTGTCTTCGAGGCTATCCGCAAAGCTCCAGCCAGATGTGGGAATATCCAGTTTTCGACTCAGACGACGACCGGATTAGTATGGATGGACTTTGCTTCCGTGGGCAAGAGGTCATACCCAGTTATGCTCCTGGATGGTGTGGCCGTGTACTTAACGGGACTGAAGCTCGTTCAGCCAATCGATTCTCTATAAAGGGGCGGCTGCGCTAGCAATAGTAAGACCAACCTGAAAATGCAATTTCAATGTTTCAGAACGTTCAATTTTTCTCGTAATCTGCCCAATTGTATTAATCTCTTTAGCGCCGCCTCCAACACTCACCGTAATGCCTCCGTAATGAACGATTTGATACGGGAGGTGATTGTTCAGTTTTTTGACCCTATCACGTGATTAAAAGACCCGATTGATATCCTTCTCACTCCCATACACAAGCTTAGTGAGGGCCAGACTAGTAGTTGGGTCGGTGACGACCAGCGAATCCCTGGTGTTGTATGTTTTTTTCTACTTTTTTTTCATTTGCTTTGTGACTTTTCCCCTTTTTGCCTAATGCATTTTTGTTTCCTTGCGCGATGCTGACTGCCTATTGTTTGGTTTGCTGAATGTGGTTGATGTGGTTAGTGTAAAGGATGTTTGGAATCAACTTTCTCTTTGCGCTTGTTAATGTCGTGCAATGAACGCATCATCTACCCCTAACCTCTCTGGATCACTGCATCGGGATTGGGAGGAGTCAACGATCCGATGCCCCGGATCGAAGTTTCAAGTTATGGACAGGGTTACGGTGCGCTGCTTATTTCGCTGGTTAATGCTTGTTGCTAATGTGCTGTTGTCAACATCGTTGCCATCGACATTTGTAGTCACCTTTCACATCGTTGTTGCGAGCGCGCGTCCTATCATGTCCCACACAGCCGAACAGTTCAGAGTAAAAAACGGAATTCACAGGATTCCTACGTCTGAAAAGGGTGAGATGAAATAAAGACGAGACCATGAAAGGAGAAATTGAATTAGAGAAGGCAAGAGAAAAAGGCTTTCGCAAAAGCAAAAGTAGGAAAAGAATGGGGCCAAAAGAATGGGGCCACCCGGGGATTGAACCCGGGACCTCTCGCAAGAATGCTCAGGATTGAACCCTAAGCGAGAATCATACCACTAGACCAGCGGCCCTTGTTATTGGATGTTTGTATGGGCCAGAGTCTGGCCTCATATGGAGATGTTCATTTGTGCGCTCAACCGGCAACTCTCTTGCAATATTTCCGTCAGCCCTGGTTTTTGTTCTCTCCTCTTCCATTTCACACAAGACTCGAATCAAGCCAATTTTCTGTCATTAATTCACGTTTCCGACGGATCGCGACTTTGCAGAGCACACCAATACCTACATACTGCCATACTATCTGTCTATTCCAAATCATACAAATCATCCCCAGCCTCATCCACCCTCCTGTTGAACTCATTCTCAACGTCCTCATAAGCACCCCCTGCCGACGGTCGGGTCCGGGTCACGGAGTTCCCAGAGACACTCCTACTAGGGTTAGCCATCACCGAGCTGTCAGTTTCATTCCCATGACGCCGCAGCTGCCCCGAGGTTCTCCGTGCTTCACCCCCGGCCGGTCGGGGCATGGAGCTCCCGGAGACACTTCTAGGATTAGCCACCATCGAGCTCATGTCCGGGTTAGTCTCATTCCCATGACGGCGCAGCGCCCCCGAGACTCTGCGCGCTTCCGATACTCTCCGCGCTTCAGCCATTCCCTCATTACCATCCCTGGCATCTTCTTTCCAGTCGTCCTTTGCTACCATTTCTTCCAACATTGCCGTTGCCGCTTTTACTTTCCCCAAGGCGTTAATGCCAGTGTACCTTTTCCTCGCCTTCTCCATCCTCTCCTGCTTCTCCATTTCTCTCCATACCTTCACCCTGTCTTCCTTCGTCCTGTAGTTCCACTTCACTATTTGTTCCTCTTCTTTCTCTTTTTCCTCCTCCTTCTCATTTCCCTTCTCCTTTTCATTTTCCGCCTCCTTCTCTTTTTCCTCCACCACCCTCTTCTCCCTCTCCTCATCCAGAGTCACCCTCTTCAAACCCTCATCCACCCATCCCAGCCCACTCTCATCCACCTCTCTCAAAGCCTGCTCCTGCTCCACCTTCAAACCTTCCGTCCTCGCCCTCTCACGGGCATCCAACACCGCCCTCACATGCACCCTCTCATTCGCATCCATCCCATTTCCACTCACATCCCCATCCCCATTCTCAACCACCCCTTCCTCCCTAATCAACCCCAACCCCAACCCCATCTCCCCATTCCTCTCCCTCTCCTCCCTTTCCCTCTCCCTCTCCAACTCCCTCCACCTCTCCCTTTCCAACTCCCTCCTCCTCTCCCTTTCTTTTTGCTCCCTCCTCTTCTCTCTCTGCAAATTATCCTCCATCTGCTTGCGATGCTTGGCACATCTTCCTGTGCAGACAATTTGCGTGTAGCTGGCCGCGGGCAGCTCGACGGGACAGAGTTCGGGTTCGCCGGTGCGGTGGAGGTTGCGCTGGCGGGCGATGGGGCAGAAATAGAGGTCGTTGCGGGAGACTTCGGATTCGGAGGGGCAGTTGGGCTCGATGCAGTTGCGGCGGCCGGCGCGGCGGCAGCCGCAGGGGAGTTGTTGCATTGTTGGTGGTGAGTGGAAAGTGACTGAAGGGTGATGAGGTGTGCGAAGGGAGGGCAGTGGTCGCTAAGCCAGAAGTGATAAGAATATCAGGTTAAATAGCGGTGTTAGTTGCCATCCTGTTGCTGTTTTCCAGTTGTGATCTGATGGTGAGATGATTCCGAGAACAAACTCCAAACACCAAGCTCACTAAGATGCTATAACATCGAACCGCTCCCACAACTCTTGTCAAACATGCTCATCTCCATCACCACAAAGTCAAGTCGATGTTCATCCCACAGCTCTTACCCAGGCATCTTCATCCCCAAGTTACCAGAAAGTCAGGTTGATGTTCAGCGTTTTCAGATTGTTGAGGGTGATATCGTTCATGAGGTTTTTCTCCTCGTCATCGTTCGTCAGGTTATCCTTTCTGTAATCGTTCGTCATGCTGTCCTCCTTATCATCGCCCTCGTCCTCATCATCATCCCTCTTCTCCCTATCCACGTACGCGACCTCATCCAAATCCTGCTCAACCTCCGCAGGCGGCAAGTCCTCATTCGGCGGCAGTTTGACACTGCTCGGATCACACTTCCCCGGTGTCCCATCCAGCGTCGTGTTTTTCCTATACATAATTGTCAGCATCATCAACAACAACAAAGTCACCATACCACCACGGGCAACCACAAAGCCCCCCCTCCCCCCACCAAAGTCCAAACAACACCCAGGTCAGTTAAGTAAAAACTCACAAACAAATATCCTCACTCCCCTCCACCTCCCCCCTCACCAACTTCCTCCAAAACCCCTCACACTCTTTGATCACCCCCTCCGCATACCCCCTCCCCATCCACCGTCCCCCCATCGCATACCTATTCCTCTTCCTCCCTTCAGGAACCCCATACCACCTAAACCAATCCCTCGTCGCCTCCAGTAGTCCCGGACACTCCCTCCTCACATCCTCCACATCATCCAGTCTCCCCGCCAACTTATCCCTAACATCCACAACCAGCACCTTCCAATCCGTCTCCCCCTCATCCAGAAGTCCCAAAATCCCCAGCACCTTAACCTGCTTCACCTCCCCCGTGTACGCCACGCGAGACCCAATCTCGCAAGCATCAATGGGGTCGTTATCCCCCTTGTGCCCCGGCGTGTCGCGGTGGGAGTGGTGGGGAGATTCCCAGGTTTGCGGCAAGCAGCCGTAGTTCCAGATGTAGCCTTTGTAAGGGAATAGGTTGTGCACAAACCGGGGGCGGGAGGGGTGGGAGGATAAGGTGTCTTGGGATATCGGGTTGAGGGGGAGGGAGCGGGAGATTTCGAATTTGGCTTGGGACCAGCGGGGGATTTCGACGATCATGTTGTAGATGCCGTGGGGTTTGGAGTGGAAGAGGGGGATGTCGTGGAAGGGGGAGATGGGGATCCTTTTTCCGTCACATGGGGATTTGCGGAGGAAGTGGATTTTGTGGGAGAGGGTGTAGGGACGGTCGGATTTGGTGAGGGTGTAATTGTTTTCTGTGTCGGAGTCGTTGTTGTGGTTGGAGTCGTTGTCTTCGGCTTTGTCATGGTGGTTACCGTGATGTTTACCACCGTGGTGTTGGGGAAAGGGGGTTTGGTGAAGGGAAGCCATGTTGGTTTGATGAGCCACCCAAGTTGCTGTGAGTTGTTGGCTGGTTGACGGAGTGTTTGTGTTTGTTTACATTGAGATAGATGTTGGAGGAATGGAGAGAATGCCGTTGAGGTAAGGTAGTGAGGTTGGAAAAAGGTTGTGAGCTGGTCCTTGTTCGGTTACGTCATAGACTTGCTTCTCGTGAATCCCCATTGTTTCACTATTACAGCGGTCTAAGATTGGCCAATGACCGCTATTTGTTAGGTGCCCTATCAGGACCCCCAGATACGGTTCACGATGTAACTTGTCGTTCAACTACCACCTGGTTTCGAATGTCACTGCTCGATCAAATTTGACGAAATGTAATTGAAACTATGGAATCCAACCCTCTTCCCATTGGTAATCCATCTTAATGAACTGTGGGACTGCCAACCTTTGCTTGCGGCTTAAGGAAATTGAGTGGCTGACATGAATCCATGCCGGCTCTCCGAGACTGTCAACAATCATCTTTGCTCACGACACTTGTTGGAGTGCTTGGCATCACCTCAATGCGATACCTCGTGAAAAAGGAAATTGCACCGCGGAACGACATCGCGACCACGCCGAGATTTTAAGTCCCTAATTGATAGAACGATGGGGTCTATCTCAGACAACGCGAGCTTCGCCGCAAGGAAATAGGGGCTTGGTACGATGTATTGAATATGTCGATTCAATTTAACTCCTAGATAATGCTAATAACTCCAACAAGCCCATGACGTTCTCCCTAGCACTCAAATCATCCGTCCTCACCAGTCCTCACCCTGACTCTCTCATTCCCCTTTTCCCTTGAATGGATTTGTTGAAGTTCCAAACAGAAACCGCATCTATTACACAGTGTCTGGTGCTGACTCTCTCTGTATCAAGGTCGAATCCCTGCCCGTGGAGCCTTTTGTTGCACTCGTGATGATCGAAGACGGGTTCTGTTGGCGGTTAGCTTTTGAACAAGCTAGAATGTGATATCACTTACCCGTGGAGAATTTACAGCCATTGGAGTGTAAGAATTGGCACTTGCCCCGTCCCAGGAGAACTCTAAACATACTAAGGATCAGGACGGTGACAAGAGTCTAGCAGTTATCTCACCATTGCACCTCAGGAGAGAGGTGTAAGGACCGTGACTTGGAACTCCCGACATCCCTTCGATCATCTGCAGCACATGTGGCGGAATGCAGCTGAGAGATGTTTGTGTTGATTGGGATGGTGATGGACCAGACATTATGGAAGTTATTTTGGCTTATTGATCTGTTTGGGTGGCTGTGAATGGTGAGAACGCGGCGGAGATCCTAGGGCTTTGATTACTGATATCTGCTTATTTGATCGCATTGTAGGGCATCATCCGAACCACATCAATTTATATATGCCACCAATGCTCATCAAGACCGCGCAAGATACTACCGAATGCCATGACGATTTCACGGCATCGTGAGCTGGAGGACGGATGACGATACGACATTTCCTACTTCGAAAATCTTGAAAACCATGGCAGAGGAGACAGCTAAACCACCAAAAGGCCATGTGAGTGATGATCTCTTCGGTGTAGTTTGAAATCAGCCCACTGAGTTGTCTGTTCCCATGTATCCTTTTTCGTAATTGACCGCGACATTAATCAGACTGGTACAGAGTCGCGGTGTTGAAGCGCCGGCCACGTGGGCAAGACCGCAGTCCAACACGGTGTCCCTCGATGTTAGCGTCTCGAAAAGGTACGACTATGACGGAAGGGGTCCCTGAAGGCTGCTTATGGCGGTCGCGTGTCCGGGTTGATCTGCCGGAGCGAGGAGCTGATGGTGAACATGCGAACCAGAGGACGCCTTAAACGGCGTTGGATTACTGGCAGTGTCCCATGACCAGTCCCAATGTACAAACTCGCGAGGCAGAATCACGGGCGAACCATTTCCATGTCGACAATCCAATGCGGATTTGTCGGGTCTAGACCGTTCTATGAACCCTCCGAATTGAAGGGTTGATAATATAAAAATGTCGTCCGTTACTGACGTAGGTGGGATTGGAGGGAAGAAGATCGACGGTCAGGGGTCCCGTTGGGTCGGGTTCAGGGTCCTGTTTGGATCTGACTTCAGGGGGACGCGGCCCGTGTGGTTTGTGGGCGGAAACCCCAATTCGGCGGCGACTGGTCCCCTAAAAGCTTCGCGATGGCACGCTGCATGTCAGCACAAAATAGCCTGGAAAGGGACTGATTGGGCGGACATGAAGCTTATCTGGCCGGCAGCACCCGAAAAGGGTATTTCAGCTCCCCGTGACCCAGGTATTCCAGGCTGCAATTGGCGATCTAGGGGCTTCCGTCGAAGGCGTCCTCGGCTGGGCCGTCAAAGTTCCTCGCAATCAAGGAAGTGAAGAGAAAAGTCGAACCATTATGGCGTAGATGGGGAATCGAGAAATCGCAGCCTTCCTCCGGCCGAGTTCTGAATTGCCCATGGGCTGACGGATGCCATTTCCATGCTGCCGCCATGTCCTCGAACTGGACGCAGCTGGGAACGGAAGTTCAGAAGGAGCGGCAGGAAAGAGTTGCGTGGTGGCAGTGCCGTGGGCGCCCTAGAGGTATGCTCGATTTGAGGATGACGCGCCCATCCTTTTGGGTGTTGGCGATTGCGCAGAAATGCGCAAGCGGTTATTGCCGCGTTGGCTGGATCGGCGTCGCAACATTGCTGAGCAGAGGTAGCTGGAGCTGACGGGGGGAAAGGTCCGGGGACGCCATTGACGGGAGCGAGAGCCAAGGGGCGCAAGGGAAAAAAAATTGAAGGCGATGAGAGCTGTCGCAGTGTCTCGTCGTCGGCGTCCCTCACTCTTTCCAGTCACACGTTCCGTCCTTTCAATTCCCTGCCTCACTTCCACGCCTTCCCTTTCCAAATCCGAATCTTTGCGGTTCGGCAGAATTTTCAAGAGTGCGTCATCGCCGAAATGGTGAGGGTGGGAAATGGAAGGCGTTCGACGCCGGCCCTCCAAATTTGAGGAAGGAACAACCGCCACGAGGGCTTTTGACCACGATGAGAGAGGAGAGAGTGGAAGTGCCAAGTGGAAAAAATCCATTGGGCTCTTGCTTCTGCTTCCAGTGGAAACTATAGTCATTGGTAGGTCTCCGACGGCTTCAACAACTGATCACAACACAACCATGGCATTCTTGCGGACAATTTAGTATCAGCTTTTTTGTCACAACATCCTTGAGCAATTCGACTAGAGCTCTCGGTGACACTCAGGCGTACCTTGAGGTCCATGTCCATTTCGCCTCGCCAGGCAATCGAACCGCACCCAGCAATGCTCGACTAGTTTTATCAACGAGGAGTGGAGGACAACGCCTGTCAGGAGCAGCCGCAATGGTCATATCGCCGACGGGCTTTTTCCCTTAGCCTTGACCTACCTTCGATCCATCTTCCTATCTATCCACAGTCACATAAACATGACAACTTTGCTCCACGGAAATCCCGAGGTATGGACTATTTTTTCTTCGTTTGCCCGCCATGCCCATATCCAAATGCCGCTCAAGTCTTTTCTTCCCACCTGATTCCGGAACTGTTTGTGTTCATCATTCGCTAACCATTTTGCTCCCCGCCAAAATCATCAAGTTCTAGGGCAAAGATCGAGATGCCATTCGACATACTGCTGACGTTCCGGAAGGCCAATGGAACTACAAACAAAGTCCATCCTGAAGGATATTCCAAGCGCGCTCATGCCTGATGAGAGAGTCGGAAGCTCCCTCGACAATTGTCTGCAGGAAAACAACAAGCTTTGTCCGTCAAGGGTAAATCTCCCCATCATGCATCAACCCGAGAGGGACCGGACAAATCCAGAGACTCGATCTCCTGGCGAAGGCTCATTGGTCACAGCTAGTCGCTTTTGCGCCAACAATGCTACCTTCATTCAGCCCCTCTCGTGGATCAGGCTTTCATGGCTCGCGCCAGTGGCTACACGATCGACTTCCCCTCCTTCACACCAAATCCTCTATAACCACACGCTGGCTCATCGCGTACATTCTCACCACCATGGAGCCAGCCGGTTTGGCCTTGGGCGTCATTGGACTTGCAGGCATATTCAAGAGCTGCGTTGAGCTTTTTGGGTATTTTTCTACTTATCGTTCCTACGGCCACGACTACATTCTTCTGGACGCCAAGCTTCATGTTGAGAAAGCTGTCTTACTGCAATGGGCAGACCGCGTGCGTCTGCTTCACGATGACTATGACCGACGACTCGACAACCCTACCATCCGAGAAGCTGTATCTGAGATACTCTCCTACATCATACACCTCCTGAGTGAGAGTTCCTCTCTCCAACAGCGATATGGTATGAAGGAGGCGGAGGCATCTCCTCCGCATCCACCCAAGCCTCAGAACCAGACAATTGGCGGATCTCTTATGGAAAAGTTCATGGATGACTACAATGCCATGCAAGTCCGAATGCACCAACGGAAGGCCACCACATCCACGTCGAGCAAGTTGAAGTGGATGATCGTGGACAAGGACAGATTCAACGCCCTGATCGAGGACCTATCCCATTTCACTTCCAGATTGGATGTTCTTCTCCCAGAGATTCCTCTGAGCGGGCCGTCTCTTTATTGGCGTCATTGCTGAGACACGAGATGGCGTCCATTTACAAGGAGAGTTCCAAGACGGTCCTTCAACAAGCAACCGACGACCGTTTGGGAAAAAATGCCATACTCCAGGAGGCCCAGGACCAAGATAAAGCCTTGAAGAGCCTATGGTTTCGCTGCATGGGTGACAGAAAGGACAGTGTTTCACCTGCCCACGTCAAGACTCTTCAATGGGCGCTGAAGCCCGCTTGCGAGAGGGAAGGAAGGGAAGCGGAGTGGGACGATCTGTCTGAATGGCTTCGATCGGGGACAGGCTTATACTGGATTTGCGGTAAAGCTGGCAGCGGAAAGTCCACGCTGATGAAACACCTCCATGACAACCCTGACACGAGAGCGCCATTGAAAGCTTGGGCAGGAGACTTGCCACTCTCAACTGGTTCATTCTTTTTCTGGGGATTGGGACGGCAAGAGCAAAAATCTCTCGAGGGACTTTCTCGAGCACTCCTGTACCAGCTTTTGGAGGCCGAATCCTCATATATTCCCTCCGCTCTGCCACGGCTGTGGCAGGAAATCCGAACTGATGTTGAGAAAGTCCCCGCGCCACCTTCAAGCGGGGAGCTGAGGGCCGCATCTGAGTTCATGGTCAAGAACTTTCAACCTAAACGCCGATTTTGCTTGTTCATCGACGGGCTAGACGAATTTGAAGGGAACTTTCATGACGCGATCAAGTTGATCAGGGGTCTCTGCTCCAACTCAGAAATCAAAATCATCGTCTCCAGCCGGCCTATAGCGATCTGTTACGATGCCTTCTCTCGCGTACCTCAGCTTCACATGGAACATCTTACAAGCAATGACATTAAGGAGTACATACAGGACACCGTGGGCTCACACGCTTACATGGAAGTTCTTACGGCCTCTGGCGAACAATCACCAAACATGATTACAAATAAGCTCATTGAAAAGGCTTCAGGTGTTTTTCTGTGGGTCATATTGGCTTGTCGATCGGTTCTAGATGGTTTTGCGGCACATGACACTGTCGAAGAGCTGTGTCGACGAGTCGACGACCTCCCACCGGAGCTGGAGGACCTTTTTGTGCACATGCTCAATAGTGTCGACCGTCGTTACCACGAACAGATGGCGAAGACGTTGAAGATACTTTACTCAGAATACCGAGCCCGTGATAGTTCTGACGCTGGATTGAAGACAATCAAACTCGCTTGTTTCAACAGGAACGATATGGACTGTACGTCAAATCTTCCACTCGAAAGCTTTCCAGTACACGAAGCACGCAAGATTTGTCTCGCAATGGTGGCCAGATTACGAAGTCGCTGCGGCGGCCTTTTGCAGACAGTGCCTAGATGGGGATGGGGTCATGGAGTGATTGACTCCAACGATCGCCTACCTTACAGCCTAAAGGACAAGGTCTGTTGGTGTCCATTGAGGGAAAAATGTCCCCAGGTCGGAGAGGGCTCCCATCCTTTGTCACCCAAATACAAGGTTGGGGATTTTGCGGAGCATTCCCAGATCGAGTTCATACATCGGGCTGTCTTTGAATTTTTGGATAACCCAAACGTTTGGAATCTGCCTCCGCTTCGGATATCAGATCCTACCTTCAGTGCGGCTTGCGCAATAGTGGGCATGGATTTGCAGCTGTACTATCTGTATTGCAAAAACGGTGCCGAGACAGATGCGACACTAGATTGGCTACTCATGATCGACAATAAACCACTCGAATGTGTTGTTCCCGTCCTGGCAAAACTTGCGGACTGTGTGAGTCTGAGAATTGCACAAAAGGATTACACAACCGAAGAAACGATACAGCCATCCTTCTCCTCATTCTTGAAACCAGCCTATGATCGGTCATCACTTCAACTGTCACTCCTCATGGCGGTAGAGTTGGGCTTGGTAAATACTGTCGGTAGTCTGCTTCCAACTGTCGGGCCGCGGCCGCTGGGTCCGCGGTATTTCCCGTTCCCAATCCTTTACCATTCAGTGAGATCGCCCCTTCTCTATTCTATGATCGGTGAAAGCCTCTATCCTCAAAAGGGATACAGCGATAAGTTTAGGGTTCCAGGTTACTTGTTGTCGCAAGGCTTCCCTCCGAACGAACTTTTTGCAGACGAGCGGGGCCTGCCCACCACACCCTGGAGAAGTCTCATAGTACTTGAGCAGAAATTTTGGCAAACAAGGGACAAAGACCCTCCTTACAAGTCCTTCCTAACAAGAAAGTCTACTCACGACATGATGAGGTCGTTCATTGAACATGGAGCAGAGCTGGACTATGTCGTCCCTGGGATTTCGACCGTAGAAGAGTTTTTCAACAGTAAATTTGTTGCTTTTCTCCCCGAGGACCCGAGTCCCAATGGTAAGATCAACGAAGCAGCTTATCGAATGTATCGATTTCAAGGGTTCGTATTGAGAAAATCGTTGAATTTACTGCCTATAAAGCTAGCCGGAAGACAGAAGTGGGCAAATGATATCCGAAGGTGCAAGAGACAACTCATGGCAGCCATCGCGGAAAGAAGAAGGTATGACAATCCGAACGGCCAATTGCCCTTACAAAATCACTTAACACTTCGCTCCTTGCGCTTGGCCAGGATCATGGCGGCTGAAACGCTTGCATCGTCCGCGGGTTCAGAACAGGATAAGGGACCGGACACTCAGCTTGACGGCAGCCTTGATACCCAAGCTGATAAGAAGGTGGACGGCAACGGCAAGGCTGACACTGGAAGTAACCCCAAGCCTGATATAGGTCGCAAAGTCAACCTCAAAGCCGTCCAAGAACCGTTGTGGTGGCTTTTGGTCGTTGTCATACTAGCCCTGAGTATATACATGAAGTCTGGCTTTCTGAGCCAAGTGGAATCATAGGGATAGCTTCAGAGTTGGATGGATGAGGTTGGAACATTCTCTGGGTAGACGAAGTTGATAACCAACAATGTATCTATGTGGAAGTTTTCAAAGCGGTGCTAGCAAAAGACAACCACTGGCCAAAACCATGGGAAAATAGGAGCTGGACTCACCTTTTGACTACACGCACCACCCTCCCCAACCACATTTCGACAGCACATCACCAACTAATCTACAGACGTGATTTTTTTTTTTTTTTTTTTTTTTTTTTTTTTGAAATTTCTCCTCTTAACACCTTCATCATCTCCATTCCAATGGCTTTCATCGTAGTAACAGCTCCTTTGGTCCCAGAAAAGGGTCGGGTGACTTGGAATCAGGACCAAGAAGGCGTGATGATGACGATGAGTTGAGCAGTATTTGGGCGGGGATAAACCTCGAGAAAGACGCCAGGGGGCTTGGAAATACATAATGAGTGAAGCTGGGCCCAAAAATTTAACGAATTTGAAGTCTTTCCTTAAATTATTGCCCGAAGATATTTTTAAGGGACCATGGCGCATGGAGTTAAAAGGTGGTGCACGAAGCAAAAAGGGGTGGGTGGTGGGGTAAGTTCAGCTCTCAAATAGAGAGTGTCCATTGATCCGCTCCATGTCTTTTTGAAGCCAAACAATGCTATGTCAACATGTATAATCCACACAAACGCCAGCCGCCAACGAGTAGACTTATCCATAACCGTTATAACGCTCCAAATGCACATCAATCATCAACAACCATACCCTAAGCCACACAACCATCAACAAAACAACCCTACGCCATCCCATTCCCATTCACCCCCTCCGTCCCACCGCCATCCCCATCACCCTCCCCCGTCTCAACATCAGGATCCACCTCCGTCCCCAAATCCCTCTCCTCCAAAAACCTCCTCCCCACCAACTCCCCCGGCAAATACTCCTGCCTGACCCTTCCCCCCCGATAATTAGGCGGATACTTATACTCCGCCCCGTACCCCATCTCCCTCATCAACCTCGTCGGCGCATTCCTCAAATGCAGCGGCACCGGCAACGCCGCAACCCCCGGCTCCCTCAACGCTGAGAAAGCATTATTAAGTCCCCTATATGCCCGCGTGGATTTGGGAGCGAGACACAAAGCGACGGTGCAATGGGCAAGGGGGATACGAGCTTCGGGCATACCGATTTGTTGTGTGGCTGTGTAAGTAGCTGTTGCTAGCGGCAAAAGGGTGTTATCGGCTAAGCCGACGTCTTCGGAGGCGATGACTACCAGGCGGCGGGCGATAAAGAGCGGGTCTTCGCCGGATTGGAGCATTCGTGCCAGGTAGTAGAGGGCGGCGTCGGCGTCGGAGCCGCGGATGGATTTGTGGAAGGCGGAGATGGTGTCGTAGTGTTGGTCGGAGGCGCGGTCGTAGACGAGGGTTTTGGTTAGGGAGTGCTTGATGGATTCTTTGGTGAGGAGGACAGAATTTGGATCTGATGAAGAGGAGGGCTTGGGGTTGGTGGTTAGGGACAAAGCGAGTTCCAAGAGGTTGAGGGCCGTGCGCGCGTCGCCGTCGGCAAAGGCGCAGAGGTAGGAGAGGAGTTCGTCGTCTATTAGTGGGCTGAGGGGGAGGTGTTGGTCGGTTATTTCCTGTTTTAGGGCTCGTAGCAAGATGCGCTGGAGGTCGTCGCGCGATAAAGGTTGAAGAGTAAAAGTTCGGCACCGGGAAAGCAAAGCGGGAACGACTTTGAAGGATGGGTTTTCGGTGGTGGCGCCGATGAGCGTGATGGTGCCTGCTTCGACGGGTTTGAGGAAAATGTCTTGTTGCGCTTTGGTGAAGCGGTGGATCTCGTCACAGAAGATGATGGTGCGGCGCCCTGTTAGTTGGAGCTCGTTGGCCGCTTCGCCGAAATACTTCTTGCACTCGGCCACGCCCGAGCTGGTCGCGTTCAGCTCGATGAAGCGGCTGCCGGTGCGCTGCGCAATGCAGCGCGCTATGGTCGTCTTGCCGGTTCCCGAACCGCCCCAGAGAATCATGGAGGGCACTCGGTCGGTTTCGATCAGCGCGCGCAAGACGCCGTTGGGCCCGACTAGGTCTTGGCCGAAGACGTCGTCGAGAGAGCCGGGGCGCATGCGCTCGGCTAGGGGAGCGGATCGGTTGTTCGTTTTTGTGCGCTTTACTAGGGGTTGGATCGGTGGGCTGGGCTGTACTTCTCCTCCTCCTCCTCCTCCTGCTGCTCCTCCTCCAGCATTTCCATTCGGTTGTGGTGTCTCTCCATTCCCATTGACCCCATTCTTATTCCTCGCCGCGTCTACCGAAGGCGAATCCAATCCCGGTCCATCATCAAACCTCCTCTTGGTCCCCGTCCTCGGGGTTTGCGCAGCAGTCGAAGCAGCACTGCCATGAACTGGTATTGGTGTTGAAGCAATGGGTATCTTTGACCCCGCCAGTCGTTTGGCAGGAGTCTGGAAGAAGTCGGCGGCTGTTCGTTTCTTTTGGGTTGAGCTTGGTGGTAGATTTCCGTTCTGGGTACTTTGTTGTCCACTACTTTGGGGTTCAGCTTCTGTCTCGAGGAAGGACTGGCATCCGGAGTCGATGTGGCTGTTGATCTTGTCGAGGCCCTTGACGGCCTGGTTGCAGATCGGACAAGTGACCGCCATGGTGTCGCATGGGCCAATGCGTAGGATGAAAGCAAAGTAGAAGCAATATCTGATCTTCCCAATGTCGTAAAATGGCGAATTGCCAAGAGGTCGCCTTGGACGAAGCAAGAATGGGTTGTCGGAGGAGAAATTGGAGGTGACGGGAGACGCGTTTGTAGGGCGTAAATTGATTTTTGGACGTGTTCACAGCTGTGCACTGGTCCCTGCTGCTGCAGTGTTCGCTGTCGCCCAGGAACTACTCTATGCGGATAGGACCATGTGGGGTAAGTTGACAGGTGCCCGCATTTGAGCCGCATTAATCAGCCATCAAAAACCACAGGATGCGTCAGGGGCATGGAGAGCATGACGGCAGAGCTAAGGCAAGTGGCGATGACCACCAGATGGAAGCTCAGATGAGATGAAAAGTGATATGTGCACTAGTAAACGCGGAATGCACTGATGAACCTCTCCATTCCTCTCCCTTGTCTAAATGGTGGTGCTAAAAGAAAAGAAGGAGAAAAATTATACACCACTACCAACAAAGTAAAACGCCCTTTATAGACGCGTCCATATCTGTGTGACCAGAATGGGAAAAGAAGAAACAAGAAAGGGAATAATGCTCTCTACCCAAACGCCAATACCCATGCTTTCGCCGAAAAGAAAAAACCCATGCGCGCGAGCGCTGACAAATGACGCATACCACTTATCGAAGAGATCCGTCGTTCTGGATGCACCAGGGGGGCCACTGCAGTGAAGACCGTTACTCTCTCTCAAGTCATGTGGTGTGTGTCGCAACCGACAAGGCTGAAAGGTGCTTCGGCATCCACGGCTCGCCCCTAGCTTAACCGAGATTCCATCTCATCCAACCCCCTCTATACCATGAACGACTCTCCACAACCACATTGCTCCTCTGTAATACCTAGTCAGCTTCTTGCCCAACCATATCCATCCAGGACACACGGGGGAAAGGGGGGGATACTCACTAATATTAGGATTCCTAAAAACAAACCTCTGACTGAGTTTATCCTCCACCCAATCCATCTCGCTCCCAATAATGCTAAACAGCGCCTTGCTGTCAATCAACACCTTGACGCCGTCTTGCTCCACCGTCTCGTCAAACGCCCCCGCCTTGTCCACGTACTGCAGGTCGTACGCCAGCCCGCTGCACCCCCGGTTGCGCACGCCGACTTTGATCAGCTTCGGGTCCGGCTGGTCCAGCATCGCGCGCAGGTGCTCGACGGCCGCCGGCGTGAGCTTCATGGGGGCCTTGCGCGGGGCGCGCAGGCGGGAGGCGCGGGGGGCGGGCTTGGAGGGTGTTGGTTGCGTGGCGGCGGAGGAGGGTTGTGGTGCGGCGGTGGCGGTCTTGGTTTGTTCTTGCTTGGGGACGGCGGGAGTCGTTGACGATGTAGATGGTGATGACGTTTGCGCAAAGTTGTTGTTTAGTTGTTGTGACTGTTGCTGTTGCGGTGGCGACGCAATCTTGTGAGGTCTGGTCTCGTGTACCCGCGGCATGGGCGGCTGGACGGGGAAAGCCATGGAATCATTGCCTGAGCGTGGCGGCGATGGCGGATGCAAGGGGAGAGTGTAGGACTGGAAAGCGGTGACGGCGGGCGAGGGCGTCGTGCTGAATTGGCGCTGAGCGTGAGCGACGTTGCGGTTGCTGTTGCAGAGGGCGGACGAGAGCGTCCTCCTCGAAAGGATCCTTTGCGCGTTCATCTTGAGTGGTGTTGTTGTTCTTGTTGTTGTTCTTGTTGTTGTGTGATGTAGTATCGCAGACAGGAAGGCCGGCGATAGTATGGCGGTGGAAGTAATATGATGTACGGAAGAAGAAAGGGGAATTGCAGAGGTCAGAATCATAGGGCTGTGACAAGACCAGGATTCGGTGGTTGAGTGTCTTCCTCTGATGGTTGTGCTTGGCGGGAATTCGATTGTGAAGAACAGTTGGGGCGGCCAAGTTCAACTGAAGTCAGCCGAGCATATGACATGATGGCAATCAGCTTGGCCCTCGGAGCCGCCCGGTAACCGACACAGCCAATCAGCATTCGCCCATTAGGAATCCCTCTGAAATTCTGACTGTCTCGAACGATCCACACCTTCCGTAAGCCACGAGGGGGTCCACTTATTCCGTGGACTCCATCCACTCACAACCATCGGATTTGCCGTCTCGACTTTTGGAACTTGCATCCTGTCATTCCATGTCTTTTGCATATTGCTTGACCCAGTCAGAGGACCCTGACAGTTCACGGCCCTGACAGAAAGCGGGCTTGACCTGCACCTGAAAGGCAAGGTACGTAGGGCAGTGCACCTTGATGGGCAGCGCGGCTAGGCAGAGGTCCCTGGGCTGAATCTGTCAGGGCAACTTAAGCAAGGGAAGTGGAAAGGGGGAGGACAAATGCGCCTTATCTGGTTGGTCGCCTTATCACTTTCACGTAACCCTGGGACCGTGGAAGGGGATTGCTTTGACCCCCCCTGAAGATGGATGTACCCTTTGTTTACTTTGAGTCTTGATTCGGTCAAGTCAGGGGCACGATAAGGACAGCTGGGTCCATCGTGCTCAGGGGCAATGACATCACTCCTCTGTGTCCCCTTCCAGGTCCCACTGGTTGAGAGCTGTTGGAGCTGAACTTCTTGAAAGTCCCCATCACCATCGTACCATGTTCCATCGGGCAGGCACAAGAGTATTCTCATCTCATCCGTTCAGTTCAGTTCAGTCCATTTGATATCGGCCGATTCGACATTAAGCTTCAACCCGCAAAGTAGACCATCAAACACAATCTATCCCATCTATCGCTAACAAAACAGGACAAACGCCTTTTCCATACTCATTACAATTTTAACAGTAGAGATCCATCCAGACTATTCACCACCACCAACCAGCCCCCTAACATCCCCCACCGCCTCCCTCGCCATCTTCTTCAACAACCCCCTCTCATCCGCCTCCCTAAACCGCTCCCAGCTATCCAGCCCCTCTTTAGCCTGGATACTCAACGTCTCATACCCCTGCTTGATCACCTCCGCAACCTGCACGCTCGTCAACTTTTCTTTATTTACTCCCGAAGCCAGCATCTCCTTGTAATGCGCCGACACGTTCACCAACGTATCAATACTATTACTCTGTCTCTTCTTCAATCCGTACACATCGCGGAACTTAACCAGCACATCACCCACCTCGACGATCTTGTAAAACAAATCGTCGTAGGCTGCTGATGTCGGCAGGAAGGACTCGCCTGACGAGAGGCCGAGGGCAAGGGTGTTGACTACCAGATCCAAAAGCGTGTCGAGCTGGCCTTGTTGCCCGCCGCCGACGAGGAGCGTCTTGAGGTCCGAGGCGTAGGTGGTCAGGAAGCGGATTAAGGACAAAAGAGAGCGGAAGAGTTCGTGCCAGTGGTACTCGAGGCGGGTGCGGGAGCGGGACATGTAGCTTATCAGCCGGAGGAGGATGCCGACGCATAGGGTGTAGAGGCCGACGTCGAGGCGGCGGCGGAGGTTGTGGTTGACAGCGTCGATCATGGTGTCGAGGACGGCGGTGGCGAGGACGCGGTCCCCGGGCACGTGCGGGAGGTAAGGGGAGCGTTGTCGGCAGAGACGGACGGGGTGCTTGTGGTCGGGTTCGGAGCTGCAGAGGCGTTTGCAGAGGACGGGGTCTTCGATTAGGAGGCGGATGATCATGAGGTTGAGGTGGCTGTAGAGGGTGGTGCGTTGTGACAAGTGGGCGTGTTGGAGCATGTAGGAGGTTAGGGAGAGGAAGCTCGAGAAGGGCGGTTCGTCGCCTTTGGCAAGTGGTGGGAGAGTGACGAGGTTGTGGCAGAAGAGCTTGTTGGCGTGGGTAAAGTCGTAAGTTGCTAGGAGGACTGCTGCTTCTTTGCCGGGTCTGCTGTTGTTAGTCCTTGTGTCTTCTCAACTCCAAGGTGGACAATGACTTACAGCGCCGCAAACATCCTCTTTTGCGTCTCCGCATCATACACCGGCTTCTTGTGCTTATTCAACCTCACCAACCCAATCATACTCAGCGTGCCCGCTATCGACCATCCCTCAGGCAGATCCTCTTGTACCGCGACATACTGCCCCCTTAGCGTTAGACACGCCTGACCCACGGCTCTGATAATCTTCTGTATCGTCTGCTCATTGACAAAGTCGTTCAACCGCATCTGGTACGGGTTTTGGAACTCGAACTTGTTGTAATTAGCAAGAAGTCCCACCAGCGTGAACGGCAGGACAATATCTTGTGTCGTCTCGGTGTCTTGTATAAGCTGTTGTTTCCGGTTGTCAGCCTTTTGCTCTCTCTCCCTTCCCCTTTCCCTCCCATTTCCCTTCTTTCTGCCCACACCAACCCAGGCCGCTCAAAACTCACCTTCATCAGCGCAGGAAACATATCCCTCTGAATGAAATAACTCCCCAACCCCGTCCCCCACGCCCCCGCCGTAACCGCCATCGCCACCTCCACCGCCTTGCGCCGGACCTCTATACTCGTCGCGCCGCCATTCCCGCCGCGCACAATCCCATCCAACGCCCCCACAAACTCCCCAAAGACATGGTCGACACTATCCAACCCCGCCAAAACCTCAATAATATCCGAGCTCGGGTTCGTGTATTTCTTCCCTAGTACGCTGACAAGAAACACCGATAGCGTGTCGAGCGCATTTGCTTGCTTGTTCTGACTTTGACTACTAGAGGCAGCGGTGGAGGAGGAGGAAGGCCTGGTGGGTTTGAGCGCGCTCACAGCGCGGGAGAAGAGCTGTCGTGTTTGCGAGGAGTAGAGATGGAGCAAGTCGGAGGGCGAGATGGGGTCGAGGATTTGGCGCAGGGCGGGACGCGAGGGTTTGAGGATGAAGAATTCGGTCCAGAACCCTTCGGTTTGGGTTGGGGAGTGGTGGTCGAGGTATTCTTCGTCGTGGTCGTGGTCCTGTTGGTCGGTGGGAGAATAGGTTAGTTATGCGAGGTTGCTTATGAGATGAGTGGTGTTGCTTGTCTGGTCGCATTGCGCGCGCAAGGATTGGGAGGGTCGGTTGTTTCAGCTTGACGGGGAAGGATGGGAACAGTGAGGCAGAGATGGCGAATCGTAAATATCGAGACGCACGCGCGCGGCGCATGTGATAGGGAAAGGGAGTTGACGACGGTGATGTTAACTAACCTACAGCGCAGTTGACGTTAGCTCCTTTTTTACCTATTACATTACAACCCCCAAGAGAGAAGCTACACACCTTAAACAGCTCATGGTAAAGCTGCACAATTTTGGCCTGGAACGCCTCCGGCCGAGGCTGTTGCGTAAGGGGGGATTGCTCCATCCCGGTCCGCTGCTTTGCGCTGTGCTGGCGTCGCAATTATTCGTCGTCGTAGATCGGTTGGCGGTAACAGGTTCCGTAACCGTGATTTATTCGAGAAGCACAAAGGTAGGTGACGACGTCGAGCAAGGAAAAGGGTTGGCGTGGTTGGGTGTTCGCGAGACGGAGCACGGCACGGAGGGATGACGATGATAAGCTGTTGTTTAGCGAACTGTTGCCCTGGGTCGTTCCGGCAGCGGCAATAAGATTGAGAACCTCCCTGGCTGGCAAAGGTGGGTCACCCGTCCAATATCCAAATCCCACAGTACATATAACACTGTGTCTCTCAGCCGGCCCCGGCCCCCTTTTCCCGTAGGGCTGAATGTTTTCAGTTCCGATCCTGTTTCCAAAAACACCCGAACCCGAAAACAGAATCACCCAACCCGACGGCGGCAGTTTGACAGCTTGATGGGTTTGACTCGCCTCCTCGCTTATTTCAAGGGCCGTCCCGTCTTCCGCCTCCCATGGTTAAATTTGTCTCATCCTTGACTTTTGCCTCGCAACTCCCGACCGATGAAGGGCCGGAAAGCTCGAGACGACATGACTCGGTTACAAGACTTGAGGGACGACAATGACTTTAAGATTTGAGGCGAGGTGATTTGAGGTGCATGTAAGAATTACTGTAGTAGCTTGATGATTCTTTGAATATGAATACTTGGCATGATGTAGGTCTAGAGGCTTCATAATCCCTTGTTGTTCACCCATTACTTTCCTCCGACCATGTGGTGTTAGCCTAGAAGCTTCCCTTTTGTTGCTCTTTTGCGTACCATTCCCACTCAAAACAAACCGCGGCCCACAAGAAGAGATACTCGTCATAAGTCGTATTCATCAAAATAACAGTCAAGGGCGGTCAATGTTATGCCCGTCGTGCAATGCTTTTGTGTCGGAACAGTAGTCATGTTGTCGCTAACAATAGGGAATGTTGTCCCGTCGAATACCATACCGAGAACGCCGAACCCATTAGCATACTCGTGTAGAATTAACAAAGGACGCCCTGAAACAATGACAGAATAAGCTTTGATCGCGACGCTAAAAATGCAACCCAAGAAAAGTGATCGTCGTCGTGATGTACCGCTAGGCACACATCGAGTCTCCACTCCGCACGTCATCTTTCCATGTTGTACCTACGACTCGTCCAACACATGAAAGAAAAGCCATGACGCAAAAGCCAACAGTAGAGGCAACATAGCCAGGAGACCTTATAGTCCCCAACTGCCTCTTCTTTCTCTCACGCCCCAAGCCTGCGGACTGATGGCGTCCAGGTCGGGGTGCTGCCTCGCCCACTCATAGATGTACTGTTTGAGCGCCTTCCACCGAGGACACCTATTCTCCTCGGGAGTATCGTCCTTCTCTTCACTATCGAGCATAATGTGGCCCGTAGCCTTGGCGTCACCG